TGTGGAGGAGCTGCCACTCATCCTTGCCAGGTTTTTTAAAGATGAAGATGGGGGAATTCCAGGGAGATGTTGTTTCCTGGATATTCCCTTTGGCTAATTGCTCTGCCATGAGCTTCTGGAGCACTTCTAATTTTTGTTTGTTGAGCGGCCACTGCTCTATGCAGACTGGAGTATCAGACAGCCAATTTAATTTCTGGGTAGGATGCTCCTCAGTGACCGCTGCCCGAAAAGCCTGCGGGGTTGGGATGTTAATTGCGACCCCCCCACTGGGCCATCAGGTCTCTCCCCCACAGGGATTCTATATAATCTAAAACAAATGGGCGTAAATGCGCCAATTGCCCATTTGGCCCCTCAAATTTCATGATGATTTTTGATTGCTTAGCCAATTGTACCCCCCCTACACCTTGAATGTGGCTGTCCACGTCCTGCAACTCCCAATGAGACGGCCAATTCCATGAAGGAATGACTGTCACATCTGCCCCCATGTCTAGGAGTGCATTCATGTGTTTACACTCACCCCCTTTGCACAAATAACAGTCAATTTTGGGGCGATCTTTTCCCAGTACCTGGGATTGACAAATCTTATGGATATTCTTTGGTGACAGCTTCCACAGATGTTCTGGATGCACTGGTGGACCAGCCACTGGGGTAGCCTGTGCAATGATTTGTCCTTTGGGAATGAACACTGGGGGGTGAGAGCAGTGCAGCCACACTACCAACTGTTTTGAGTCTGAGGTGGTTAAACAAGGATCAATGGTTATATCAACTGGCATGTGTTTAGTGTCCCCAATAATGATGTACCTACTGCGGATATTTCTCCAGGTCCCACGGTTCTCAGTGTCAACTGTGATGAGCTGCCAGTCTGTGTCTTTGAGGTGCAAAGCCTCAGTTAATGCCAGCCTAAAAGGAGAAGAATTAGAACAGGTATTAAGGACAGGTTTAGGACGGTCAGGGTCCCGACCGAACCAAAACCTGGAAATAAACGGCACATCATCTCCCATGTTATTAATCTCATTTTGCAAAGTTACATCTGGTAAATGATTGTCTGTGTCCTCAGGTGGGTGCTGGAAAACACTGCCGCCCCCCCGCCCCTTCAGCGATAGTACTTGTCCCACCTCATTTGTGTTGGCACGCAGGGAGGGATTGCACTGACAACCTAGTTTTTTGGATCTCCCCCTGATGGGGAATCCCTTGCCCCTGTTTTTGATTTTTAAATTGTAAAAATTCGTCCTTTATTGGGCAGTGTTGTGCCCAATGTCCCTTTTGGTTGCACAGACGACACACTGTTCCTTATTTCGGTCCCTTTGGGCGGTCCCGGAAAGCAGCGCGGTGGGGAGGCTGCCGGTGTAGTAAGTGCGGTGGCACTGGCGGCTTTGGCAGTAGAAACCCTTTTCAGAGCAGCTCAGAACTCTCTAAAGTCCTTTGCAGGGATGGAAACCTTCCGTGCACAAACATCCAGCATGTTTTGTAGGGTAGGGTCCGGATCGTGGGGAAGGCTGAGGATGGTGTTCTGGCAAGCTTCATTTGTGTTTTGCCGCACGATCTCGGTAATGATTCCCCACCGGAGCGTCTCGTCCGGCACTTGCGCATCTACTGCCTGATGCAGCCAATCTACAAAGCTTACAAATTACTCTAAAGGCTCCTGCTTAATAAAAAATAGTTAACAATTGGACCGCTAGGTTTCAGTTTAAAAAATGCTTTCTTTGCTGCTTTTGCACTCAGAAGCAAAGCTTCCCTTGGTAACTTTTCTGTCTGCTTTGGACCCAAATTCCAATCCCTCCTATCGCATAAGTGATCTGCCGATATCACTGCCCCATCCGAATCAAACAAGGTATCCTGATTAGTGCGAAGTTCAGGCAACTTGTCCCTTATTTCCCTTATCCACACAGACTCCCACACCAAAAACTCAGCCTGCGTTATTAAACACGAAAAAAGGGTTCACAAATCTGCTGGCACATACTCTGCCGAGGACAGGGTTGCCTTTAAAAGACCGCAAAAAAATTCACTTTCCCGGCTGAATTCCTTTTCAGCCTTGCACAAATCCTTTATAACTTGCTGGGGGATGGAGCACCACTGGGCACGGGGCCTGCCCTCCCACCGTGGGGTGTAAGTCACCAGAGCGGCAGTGAAGGCAGGCAGGGAGTGAGATGGGTCCCAGCTCCCCCCGCCCCTGACCCCCCTCCTCTGGAGCCCGGACTGTGGGCTCCCCCCTCTGCTGCCCCCCCTTCCCCCCCGACCCTGAGCCTGGACCATACCTGCAGGGGAGCAGATGAAACTCACTCTTCAAGTCTCAAATCCCTGATTAATTACGTAATTAAGTTACTCTGTTCTGAAACCAAAATACACAGCTAAGAAAAGATGTATGAGAAAAATATATTCAATAAAGACTGGTGCTTTCCCTTTCAGGTTTTTGATTTGCTTTTCGACATGGAGAAGAGCAGAGCAGATGACTTTGAAAAGAGGATTATTTAAAATGTCAGGGGAGAAGAGGAGAGGGAAGGTCTGAAGCAATGAAACAAAGCTCTTTTGATGTTGAACCAGAGCACTGAAGTCATCAGTGCCCTGGATGGCCCAAGGACTCTTCCATCTCATTGTCCACACAGAGAGGAGGAGAAACTGGTCTGAGACAGGCCATCAACTTGAAACCAAGTGATTGAGTTCAGTCAAGAGCCCTCAAAGTGAAACAACTCTAAAATGAGCAAAAATGAGTCACCTTCAAAATCAGCTGTGGGACTGAAATGTTTGGGAGCTCTCCAGGTGGAGACTTGGGGCAGCCCTAAAGATGAGCAGATCTTGCTGTGCCCAGGCTGATTCTTGTGTATAAAAGCAGTGATCCCTACCCTGGGTGGAGGCTCTGACTGCTTCAGAGACCCTGTAGCACTTTCTGCTGCACAGCTGAGCAAAACTGAGCAAAATCCAATTACATGAGATGCTTCCACACTCCAGAGACCACAGGGCAGGCGGATTATCAGAACCAATCAGAACAACTGTAAGTGAAGCCATATTTGATGCAGTTGAAGGCTCTGTTGCAAAGGACACTCTGCCAAAGTGAGTTATTCCGCAATTCAATCAATCTTTTCCCTGAGGGCTCATCAGAGAACAACAGAGGAAGGAAGAAAAGAGACTTGTTGTCAATCATTGTGCACACTGTAAGAAAGAGAGGCGTTTGAAAAGGGACTGTCCGCAGTTACAACACAAAACTCCTCTCTCGTGGCCATCACCGATGATCACTGAGGGGGACCAGAGGATTCTTTCCCAGCAGAACATCTGGTCACAGCTAAGCTGGGAAGGGAGGAGGTCAATGAGGAGGTAGAATTTTTTAGTGGCTATAGGAGCTGGTTGCTCTGTGCTGAATACAGTAAAAGGAAACTTGAGTGACGATTCTATAACAATCATTGGTGCAACGGGGAACCATGAAACTCAGCCATTTTTCCAGCCCATTGATTTTAAATTAGGAAAATAATGGGTGACTCCCCAGTTTTTGTAGCTACTCATTTTACCTAAGCCTCTCCTTGAATGATTTACTGGAAAACCTGAATGCTAAAATCAAGATTAAAATGGCAAAATGCAGGTTATTACTCCAAAATCTAATTATATGGAAGCTTCTGCTTTTGCACTACAATCTTCAAAGTCAGATGTGATCCATCTGCCATTTGTATCACTTGAGGATGCAGTAAATCTGGTAGTCTGGACTGGAGAGGAGGTGCCCCAGTGACCCAGAAATGCAGAGGCTGTAAGAAACAAATTGAAACCCTGACAGGACCAGTAAGGCAAAAGCAATACCCTTTGAGAAAATAAAGTTGTAAGGGGTTATTATCCCTTGGATATATTTATAAAAGATTTATAAAAGAAAAGAAATATTAGATTTATAAAAGATAAATTTATAAAATAAGGCCTGTTGAACAAATATGAATCCAAATTTAATAGCCTTATTTTGCCAGTTAAGAAGGCAAAGGGAAAGGACAACAGAGAATAGCCAAGGGAAAAATGGGCTGAGGGACAGAGAGGGAAGAAATTAAACATTAGGGCAGGGACCTGGAATGAGAGCATCCAAGAAAGAAAAAGTGTACTTAGAATATGAGAGAGAGAGAGGAAATAAAAGTTGGGGGGGACATCACAAAGGCCAAGAGGGTATATGGGTAGAATTCTAAAAAATTGGAAGACAGATAAATGGAAAAAGACAAAAATATCAATGGATTGAGATAGAAGATGAAGACAAGAGAAGTAGGGAAGAGGACAGAAGTCCAGAAAGCAAAAGAAAACAGAGAGATAGAATATGAGAAAAAGACAAGAGCCTGGAAAACAGGAGAGGGAGAGGTGCAGGAAAGCAGAAAAAAATACATCAGCAGGAGAAGGGTGGTAGGGATGGGATGCAGAAGAGGGGCAACATGGACTAATGGGTCCAGGACTCACCACAGCTCCCACTTACAGCTGCTGGGGGAATTTGACAGTTCAGATGTGTCTTTGTCTCTCCCTCTCCATCCCTTACTCTGTACTTCCAGAGACTCAGCTGTCAGCCACCTAAGACATCAATGTCTTACAACTTTTACAGTATGAGGCTTCACAAATACACAGCTTCACATGTGCACACACTACATGGTTATACATACAGGCCCTGCGGTGCTCTGCTTAGCACGACACTTATTAGACATTCTTCCTCACCCGGAGAGACAGAGGAGATCCCAACACTCCTCCCCAGCAAAAATGACATGGTTTTCCCCTGAAATTTGCGGGGTCACTTCTCAGACTTTGTCCCTGCACCACTCTCCCCCTCCTCGCCCTTCCGCCTTCACGATCAAAGGGGCGCTCCTCGGAACGCAGTGCTGCCGGAGCTCATCTCCACCGCGGGGACGACGACGCCACACACACCGAGAAGACTGCCGACCTCATTCGCGGCCCGGCAGGTGGCAGGGACGGCGCGGTGAGACGGGGCACCAGCGCCGGACGGCAGCCACGCCCCGCCCGGCGCGCGCCGTCCCTGCGGCAGCGCGCCCCGCCCCCGTCGCTAGGGAAGTGAGGTCACGCGGGATGGTGGCGGGGCGCCGCAGGGGCTGAGGGGCCGATCGCATCGGGAATCCGTGTCCATCTTGCTCGGGAGCTGCGGCGACCGTCTTGCCTGTCTCCTTAGTATCGAGCGGCGAGACCAAAGCCGCGATGGCATCCGAAACCGCAGGACTGTGAGGCATCAGAACGAGAGCCAGCAGGCCGGGCAGAGCAACAGAACGGTGTCGTGAACGACCCGAGCTGCCGCCATGGAGCTGAGAGTTGGGAACCGGTACCGGCTGGGCCGGAAGATCGGGAGCGGCTCTTTCGGGGATATCTACTTGGGTAAGGAGGATGGCTCGCAGGGGATTTAGTTGGCCGTTTTCTGGGTGTGTGGAGAACATCGAGGGCCTAGCCGGGTCGGGCAAGTAGCTGGGCTAGGGACACAGCAGCAGTAATTTAATATTTCGTTGACATCATGTCCTAATTTGGATAGTGCGGAAATCAGGAATTCTGGTTTACTCGGCTGCTTCTCTTCTCGTTGCTGTCTAGTGACCTTGGGCACCGTTCGAGTCTGTAAAATGGGCATAAGGGTAAAAATCGCCTCGTCTGAAAGAAAGGAAGGGAAAAAAACAAAATGATATAAACCCTAAAAACCCCACAACCCACCGCATTTGGAAAAACGTTTTGGGGAAGAAACGTACCAGGGTTAAATATCGCTGCAGTGAACTAGGAAAAATTGTCAGAAGAATGTTTATTCTACTTTGAAGCCTAAAAAAAATCACACAAATACAAGTGTTTAGGTTGCAGTAAAAAACCTTTAAATCCTTCAAATAATCCTCGTAGTTTGGCAAATCCTGTTGCTGACCATCACCTAACCGTGATCGCTCTACAATTGTAAAACGTACAGGATTGGAATTCTCTTTGCCAGTCCCTTATTATAGTTCTCTAACATAGCCTACTGCTGCTATTGTTTATGACAAGCTCAGGTAGTGGGTGCAACAGATTTTGAAAGCAGGTATTTTTAAAATGCTCTACATATTCGGCAAACTCTCAAGCCATGTGAAGTGGGTTCAATCCAAAGAAATATGAGCATTATGTCTCATCCAGTAGATACGAGTATTCTGCTTTTGAAAATTGTGTTAACCTAGAAGAGCAAATCAGGGAAGGGTGGGTGGGGGAAGGTGGAAGTTGCAGGGGCTAAGGTTCATTGACTGTGGAAGATAAAAATAATGTCACTTGCTGGCTTATGTGGTACGTTTGGCAGTGCATGCAGTATGAGATGTGGGGGTTGTTTTTCTATACGTGTTGCAGTGCACAGCTGCCATTCCAAAATAATTTTTTACTTAAAGCTGCTTGTTTACAGATCATGAAATACTCATTATCCATTAGACATATCATATGCCTGATGAAAAATATGCTATTTTAACTGAAGGTATGTGATTGTCTAGAGTCAGAGAACGTGATTCTTCCTTTCTGCAGTGCATGTATAGAAGATTGAAGATGTGACTATAGAAGATTGTCATAAAGCTTGTGCAAAAATTCTTGTTAGCTTCCATTTGGATTTTGGGGGCAATTAAGACAGCAGTTAAAATCTGAAAAGTCTTAGATAATTTGAATAATTTAAACTTTTGACTACTGCTCAGGTAAATCAGATTGTAATACAGTATTAATATCAAGTGCAAGTGAAATAAACGTTTATGTGTCACTTTTATCTCTATGAATGCAGCTTACACCAGTGAAGGTGCACAGAAAGTAATAGTTTGCTGTATGCTAGTGTATATATTAATGCCATACTGAATTCTGTGCAATAAATCCTGTGAGTTTTACATTTTTTTATTTCTAAACAATTGTCCTGGATTTACTCTCAAGGCTTACTGCAAATGTCATGCCATTTACGTGGAAGCATGGCTCAGGCATGGAGCTAGCATATAAGTATGTGAATGGAAGATCCAGCTGGTGGCATGGTTTTATTTTCTCAGGGGAAATTATTGTCTTTCAAGAACTGAAGCGTTTTATAGAGTCCCATTTGCTTTGCCTACAATTATCTGGTAGAACAGATGTTTGAAAACTGGCTTTTGTGATAACGAAATGTGGAGTTTTAAAAAAAATCCAGTTACTGCTCTGCTGTTCAGACTGTACAGTAGACATAAGTGTCTTAAAATAATTTATAATGTTATTTCAGAAGGCAGTATTTACTTTAAGTAGACGTGCCTTCTGATAGGCCTCAGTGAATTTGTAGATTATTTCAGCATACATTCCCAGCTCAGTTTTATGCTTTGAAAATGAAGATTTGACTATTTTTGCCTGCTTCCAGTCCCCAGGTTTTGTCTCAAATGCAGCTACAAGACATTTCAGAGTAGAGAGGAGGGGCGTCCTCTGTTTTCCCACCCTTACTCTTTTACCCTACTTTGGAATAAGAAACCAACAACATTGTTAGGAGCATGGTTCTTTCACATTCTTTCTTCTTCTTTGTACCTCAAAATTTATCTTCTGGAATTTGGAATGGGGGTCTGTGGGACAGAATTTTTATTTGTAAGGCACTACTGTAAATAAATAAGCATGGAAAACTTAAATAAAATGAAATTTAAGAGTTTACCTATGTTACCTTCCAGGGGAAGATATGAAAGAAATTGATACCTAGATACTCTAAATAGTATAAAAAGTGGACAGGAGTGAATGGATCAGAGTAAGCGTTTATTTTGTTGCAGGGAGCATGAGGTCAAGTAGGAATGAGTCATAGAGTAGTAGTTGCAGTGTTTTCATGGTTTCTTGTGTTATGCATGTATTTTTCTTAGGAATGAGTTTTAGGTTGTAAACTAATTCAAATAATTTCCAAGGCCTTCCTTAGGGAAGAGGACTTCACAATTACAAGTACATAAGAGTTTTGAATTTAAAAAAAAAAGCTTTCACAACTTTAGTCTTTCTTTTTCAATTAGAAATGGTGATGTCTCATTATACAGCTTGTTACTACTTTTTAATGATTCCTTTTATAGAACTGCTGCTTCTTAAATATTATTACATATTCCTTAAAGGAAGCTAAGCTTTTGGTGGAATACAGGACACTGTAAAATTTTAGAAACTTTTGTCTCAGGTTTAAGTTGTAAACAAAAGTCCCTTCTTGGGGGTAAGCACTGGATTGCTTGGCAGAATGATTTGCATTTTTGTGCCACTCTCATTAGTTTTGCTGGACTCAGAAATATTAATTGCATTAATAGTACAAAATCTCTTGTCTTGGAGGAGAGGGCTTACATAGAAGTGGAGTTTAGGCTAAAGATCTTGGCTTTCTTAGGTGGTAAAACTTCTTAGGAAGAGAAAATAGGCTGAGAAGTGACCTAGCAGATCAAGACCATGGTCTGTCAAGTAAGTTTAATGGTGCGTTGAGGAGGACTCGATCCTGATAATACAGGTTTTGATCCTCCTACACAGTTTTTGCGTTAATCAGCCACAGAGGACTGCAGCTGTCTTTAGAGAGAGATGTCTTTCATTATATGGAAGTTTGTGTCTGTTTTGGATCAACAAAGATTTTTTAAAAAGGCAAACCAACCGGAACCCCAAAACAACCCCATTGCTGTTTTTCGCTTATCGGTTAATATGGTCTTCTGTCTACACCTTCGTTATAGAACTTGGGAGAACAAGAGATGGTCAAGAAAGGTCAGGAGTTGTGTGGTTCATTTGTGGTGGGGAGGTCAGTATTAATAAGGCCTGCTTCCTTGTTTTTTTGATACATGCTTTCAAATCTCTGGGTTGATGTTCACCAAGATTAATTTAAGTCCACCAAAATAATTCACTCATGAAGTGTGAAAAATACTAGATTACATATTGAAGAGCTTTCAGTTGCTGCGGCTGTACTGTGTCCAAAGTAACAATCCAGGATCCTGTCGCCTGTTATGCTAGATAAATGTCTTGGTTTGACAAGATAGGAGTCTGTGAAGGAGGGCAAAAGCCTTCTGTGCAATGGAGAAGGTAAACCCCCTCCCTCCGAATTACCAGGATTTTTAAATTAAAAGGCTCTCAGGCAAAGATATGGGAATGGGAGTAACAATTCTTTACTAGGAGAAAACTAGATAACAACTTAAAAAGGCAAATGCAATTGGTACAAACAAAACTAGTGATAAAGTCCACAACCTGAGGATTCGGGGTGTTGGTGGCAGTCCGGTTGAAATGATAGCTGCTCCTCTTGCAGTGGCTGATGAATTGCAGCTGAAGTGGTGATCTTTAGAAGGGTATAGTTTTCTCTGAAGATCTGGTGGCAGTTGGGGCAGTCTTCCTCTGCGCCGGGGCCGCCTCCCAGCTACGCCGCCACTGCCTCACCACGCTCCAGCTGCTTCTCTCGGGAGTGCCGCCAAAGGAGCTGCTTCTCTGGGAAATCCCGCAAAGAGAGAGAGAGCTGCTTCTCTGGGAATCCTGTAAAGAGAGAGGGCTGCTTCTCTGGGAATCCCGTAAAGAGAGAGAGAGAGAGCTGCCCTGCCTCCCCAAAAAAGGTACCACTTTATACAATAAAAAGAGTGCTTGGCTTCCCCCTCTGGGTGGAGCATCTCACTATGGGATGGTGTTACGTTACCAGCCCTGCGGTGAATCAGGCAATGGCCCATTAACAAACCATTACCCCTTCGGAGCAAACCATTGTTCTTGGAAGAGATAACAAACCTGCCCAACCTCCAACAGATGGCAAATAGGATACAAGCTTATCTTACAAACCAGGACAGTAAAAAAGAGTCATATGTGCGGCCTTATTTTTCTTTTGCATTTTTACAGTGGATGGGCTTGAGTTGTGCTTATTGTATCTAGAGTGAGCTTCATATGTTTTGTTGATTTTCAGGGTAAAATGCCTAATAAATACCTGCTGGGGTGTCCACTCTGAGAAACTCAGTGTTCCGGCAACACCACCTTGATACCCATATGTGCGTACAAATGGAAAGACATTTTACTAATGTAGAAAAAGACACATAGTTTTGCGTGAGCTCAGATGATTTCCTGCAGTATCAGTTCCTGCCCAAGTGAAGAGTCATGTCCGTTTTGAGGTGTGGGACGTTAGCATGTCTTTGTGGTCTTAGTTTTCCTGACTTAATAGCACAAAAGCACTGAAGTAGCTCCTTAATCACAGGAACAGGATTTTGCAACTATAAAAGTTAGGTCAGTACAATGTAATGGTCAAAGAAAAACATGGGAAAAAATAGGTAGACGGAAAAATATGTCTTTATGCACATATGTTTTAATTGTTTTGTGTGACTCCCAGAAAGGGCATTATGGAAATGATGAAGGTACAGATAAGAGAAATGGGAAGTAATACGCAGTAATTAAAAATTACTGATACAGGGAATGACAAGAGATTTTGAATTCTGAAAAGAGTTAAGGGGAAGGTGAGGTAGTATAAAAGTGTATGCAATCCTCATCATGGAAAAAGTGAGTGCAAAAGGATTGTTTGCTGTTTCTCAACAAAACAAAACAACCTCAAGTTAGGCTTTTTAAAGTGGGGATCAGATCGAACCATAGGTGATATACTTTGCATGATCCTGAACCATGAGGTAAAGCAGAAAATTTAGGCCGAATTCCTAAAGTAGAGAGACTTGGAGATAATGTCTGTGAAGTGTCACACATTTCCTTTTGCTATTTCCTTTTTTCCTGTAGTTTGTAAGTTGCTTGGCTGTAAGAATGTGTATTTTCTTGACTGTTTCTATTTAAGAATGTCTGTTTCTCCCTACATATTTTGAAAGTGAATGGGTGTTTTTTGATTCTTAAAACAAGAATTTAATGAGATTTAAAGAAAGCTTTTGCAGACTGCAGGTTCTTCAGTGTAGATAACCTGCCTTCCAGCCAAGTAAAATGAGGTGTCAGGGTACAGCTGGACTATGTTGAGATCTAGGGAAATTGTAGTCTCAATTATCAAGACATAAGAGGAGGTGATTTGAATTCTTAGTACTTTTTCCGTTGGTGGGTCTGTGTGCCGTGTTTGTAAAGATTAATTCTGAACATTTTTACCACAGACTGGAAGTGGAAGTACATCCCTGAGGAGATGCACTGGTTTAGTTTAGTCGGTTTTCTGGGGTTTTGTTTTGTTGTTTTTTTTTAATGGGATAGCAGCAATTTTTGCTTCTTGTGCTACAGTGTCTTAATAGTTGTTTCTTGTAGTCCTAGTCTGTTTGATTATCTAAAAATTATTCTAGATAATTGTGGCTGAAAGTACTTAATCTCTGGATGTTTGCCATTTAGAAGTAGCTTGTTGATGCTCATTTTGTTTCGGTCTTGGCAAAGGAAATGCATCTTGAAAATACTTTGACCAATATTTTAATTCTTCTGTTTTTAGGAACTGATATTGCTGCCGGAGAGGAGGTTGCAATAAAATTGGAATGCGTGAAAACCAAACATCCTCAGCTCCACATCGAGAGTAAAATCTACAAAATGATGCAGGGTGGAGGCAAGCAAACTATTTTCCTTCTTCAAAGATTTTATTGCTTTTACACCTTTGATCTATCTGGCACCTGGCAGTTAATGTTTGGTATCTCTTTTGAGAAATAAGGAGAAGGTGGGAAAGGCAGCAGGGTAGATGAAGATCAGCAAGGGCTGTAGAGGAGCGCTCCAAATCCATGGTTATCACACTTCATGATAACTAGTAAGATCCTCCAAAGTTTCTCATGGTTCCTGAAATATTAAAATGGGAGGATCTTGTACAATGTGAAATAAAGTTTGGTCCCAGAATAGTGACTTATTTTTGATTCTCATGGATCAGTGAAAGATGGCAGCCACTACTTTGGACCATTTCACCTGACTTGCTTATTATGGTAGCACAATTCTAAACTTTTAAAAATCAGGTTAATTTTTGTTGTACATGTTAGTATTCTTTTTTCTGTGTTAAAAATATTTCCTTGCTGGGAGAGTTCAAAGACAAAATGGCATTAGTGGTGGAGAATGGGAGTGCAGCAACTTTGTAGCTACTGCGTGTTGCTTTGCTGCGGTAACTTACTCACATATTTTGAAATTCCAGAAACCTAACATTCCTGTGCATTTCTGACACATAAATCCGGTTAATGAACCGGTAGTTCAGTTTTGTGTTTTTTTCATAACCCCTTGAATTCTTCCTAAATGAGGATATGCTTTGCATAAAGAGTACATTCCATGCTGTATCTCAAGTACATGCCAAGTAGGGTAATAAGACCTCTAGAAATTGATAATAATGTGTATTTGCATTTGGTTATTTTTTAATTCCTGCTTCATTCAGTTGCCACCTGCGTGTAACCGAAATAGCCTTCATAGAGTAACATGCTTCCTTTAAATACAGCAAATTACGGCATTTCACACCAAAATGCATAGAATTAACTCAGAGTGAGGCATTTGAAAATCTGAATAAGGCTACCTATGTGCAGATTTATTTAAAAATATTTGAGTGTTTCTACATTTTTAGGTGAAATAAGGTTCCTGACTTCCTCCATAAATTTGAGCGAATTATCATGCTGTAAAACTGAATTAATAATACATCTCATAAACAGTGCTACTTTGGTAGAGATTCACCAAACAGCACATACTATGGAACTGAAGGAAAGACAAGAATATGAAGGAAGGGTAGAAATTAATTGCATTTTTTTAATGAAGGAGACAGGTATTTCATGGTGATTTTGTAGGCGTTGAAACTAAGTTAAGTTCTGAGGCCTTCTTCAGTTATAGTATCTAATGGTTTGTCAGGGTCTTTTATTTTCAGACTCCTGATTTGTGCCTTATTGGATCTTAGAGACTACGTGCATATTAATATTGGTAAAATGCTTAGGGTTCAAATCCAACAAAAATGCTTAATACTTTAAAGTTACAAGACAAGTATGAAGACTAGAAGGTTTCTGGGGAAAAGAAAAAAGGCTATTTTTAGACCTCTGTTGCTAGAATTTTTTATTGATTCTTCTGGAAGTTATCACACATTTAATTTTGGAATGTCTGAACATAAAATATTAAGCTTCACTGTAAATGGAAACATTCATGGTAATGACGCTCAGAATTAATCTTAAGAGCCTTGAAGTTTTGTGTGTATGAATTATATAAATCAAATTGTTATACTGAATAAATGGTTTATTTTTTCCTAGTGGGTATTCCCACAATTAAGTGGTGTGGAGCTGAAGGGGACTACAATGTTATGGTGATGGAATTGTTGGGACCGAGTCTTGAAGATCTCTTCAATTTTTGTTCAAGGAAATTTAGTCTCAAGACAGTCCTATTACTTGCTGACCAAATGGTAGGAAATGGCTTTGTTATCTTGATAGTGAAATATGTTGGGATATTGAATTTTTTTGATCATATATATTTTATTACTAAAATTTAGAGCTGAATAGGCTGTATTAATAGAGAAAAAGTTCAAAAGTGGCTCTGTTTTTGTAAATCAAAGCTATCCCACCAAAAGTGATTGCCAATTCTTCTTTAAAAACTGGGTCTGCACTGTTTGCAAACAAGGTGTTGCACTGCTCAAAGACTAAGAAATTTCCCCAAGAAAGTTTTGGAAACGGATTTTCCAGGTTTTATAAAAGAGGCATGGGCAAAGAGCTGGAGAGAAGGTTTGCCCGTTGTCTTCTAAATAATGTTCTCTTTAATGCCTCTACATTTCATAATAAAAAGGGAGGTTGCCTCTTTCATTATTTAGATATAATTGCTAGTGTATTTGTCAGAAAAAGATGTGTGCTTAGTCTCTTGACAATTACTTTTTTTGTGGTTCTGTATTTAGATAAGTCGAATTGAGTATATTCACTCTAAGAACTTCATCCACCGAGATGTGAAACCAGATAACTTCTTAATGGGCCTGGGGAAAAAAGGCAATCTTGTCTACATAATAGACTTTGGACTCGCAAAGAAGTATCGAGATGCTCGAACTCACCAACATATTCCATATCGTGAAAATAAAAACTTAACGGGAACTGCCCGTTATGCATCCATCAACACTCATCTTGGAATTGGTGAGCTGGGGAAAGCAATAAATAGAAACTTGAAGAGTGTCAACATATGTAATTTTAGTGAAAGTGGATGTTGCTTTGTGGAGGCATAGGAGACAGTCTCTATTTTTGACAGCATGCATGGCCTTGCATATCTTGATTAGGTGGGATTCAGTCTATACTAGGTGTCTGTTCAGTCTGAGTTTGTAATGGTCAGGAATTAGCACATTTTTTAATAACTGCAAGGATAAAAGGCTTTTCTTTTACTGAAAAAGAAAAGCCTATTTTCAATTTTTACTGAGTGTATCATGGGCATAATAACTCTCAACTGTCTCTTGTTCTTGTAAGGGTTTTATAACAGTCTTGTTGCACAGACTTTTGTTTTGCCAGTAGAAAATGAAACCTAATGAGTTCACTTTTTTATGCTGTTGTAGAGCAATCTCGCAGAGATGACTTGGAGTCCTTGGGCTATGTACTGATGTATTTTAACCTGGGCTCCCTCCCCTGGCAGGGACTGAAAGCAGCAACAAAGAGGCAGAAATATGAACGTATCAGTGAAAAGAAAATGTCTACACCCATTGAGGTTTTGTGTAAAGGATATCCTTGTAAGTTACTCTTCTGTGACACTAGGCCTATGTGTTCATGTTTTAGTGGTATATCTCCTTTCCTTATGTTAAATTCTACTATTTTTATTCATTGTCAGTCTCTCTCCCTCTCCTCTTCCCCTTCCTTACCCCCCCATGATTTTACCACATGCATGGTAAAAATACTATGCTGAAGACAGATCTTTTGTGTTCATAGAGCATTTCTAGGGATCCCTTGTCTCAACTATTGAAGTGCCCTCAAGAGGAAGGGTAGTATGGTACCCTGATTTGTGCTCTATTTTTTGTGCGCCTGTTGGCTGGATGATTGGCAACAGACAACATTTTATCAAAGTGCCTCTTTCTCTATCTGTGTGGGTACTGTTTCTTGGATGAATTGGATTGTGTAGTCAGATGCATCTCTTCTCTACTGCAGTTGTTTCATTTGGGAATTATCATCCCAGCTTCATCTGTTTTTGCCTGCTGATGGATTAGAATTTGTGAGAGGCATAAGAAACCCTGCTGTATCCTAGCATCATGCCTCAGAGCAGCTGTTTCTCTGTTGTTATTTACACCAAAACAATAATAAGCAATTTTTGAATATTGTAAAATTATACTTAAGTTTGTTTTAAAACGTAGTAGCACTACCCATCATCAGAGACTATTTTCATTTCACAAAGAGTTCTGTCTCTTCACCCTGTTGGCTTCGGCAAGTAGTTACAATGACAAGAGCTATAGTTTTGGTTTGGGTTGTATGAAAATAACATAATTTTTTATGTGTTTCAAATGTTGCTTCCTACATGTTCTTTTACATTCATGAATTACATGTTTTCTATGGAGTTTACAGGCAGGGAAGATTAATCAGCTTCTCTTGTGCCATTTATTAGATTTTCTTTCTTAATATAAATTATTATCTTATTTCATTTGGGAAGACCTAAAGTCAAAAGCTAGTATTTTGATACTGCTGATTTTCTCTGGTGCACTGAATTCACTTTTTTTTTTTTTTTTTTTTTTTTTTTTTTTTTTTTTTTTTTTTTTTTTTTTTTTTTTTTTTTTTTTTTTTTTTTTTTTTTTTTGCAATATTTTGCTTGCCATTTAAAAACAATTGCTTAGACTGTTGTAAATTAAAAATGTGGCTTGACTTACCTGGGAGATAAAGTTTTTGTGTGTTTTGTGACAAAACAGACATGAATCTCTATGTGCCTTAACAAAGAAATGCTGTTCCATGTCCCGCAATAAATTGTGTTCAGTATATTCCAAGCAAAGTTTTAAACCTTTTCTCTTCCACCAGCTGTTGGTTAAAGAACTGTATTCTGTGCTGTCAACAGATGAGATCTTTGCCTGCTCTGTGGTATAAAAATAATTTATTTTTCAGGATTGACATGATAGTGTTTGCTTTAGTGGATTTCTAGTATAAGATCATTCTTCTTCTTCTTATATTAAGAAGATTCCCTGCTTTTCAGGTTTGGGGTGGTTTGGGTAGTTTTGACTCAGAATTACAAAAAGCCAGTGTGAAGCTGAAGATAAAAACCAGGCTTCCTTTCATTACAGCTGAATTTGCCACATACTTGAATTTCTGCCGCTCTTTGCGTTTTGATGACAAGCCGGACTATTCCTATCTAAGGCAATTATTCAGAAACCTTTTTCATCGGCAAGGATTCTCATATGACTATGTATTTGACTGGAACATGCTGAAATTTGTGAGTAGTTCACATAGCCTTCTAAAACTTTTAATTTTTAATGGTTTTGGTGGGGTTTTTTACTGCATTGTCGGTTTTGAGTATCTTAACTGTTACTGTAAGATCATCTTTGATTTTTCCTCTTGACAAGTCTACTGTGTAGACAGAAAGATCAGGAAATGAGGAAAGGCAGGAGATACAGCATCCATGCTATAAGGCTTGACAACTAAATTACAGTTACAAGGCTTTTAATGTGGAAGGCTTCTTAGATCCTTTAGGGCAGTCAGCAGGCTAGGTTGTGGAATTACTACTTTCTCTCACATTGATTTTTAACATGGGTCATTGGCAAATTTGAGGAGGTGTCCAGCTGCCATAACAGTATGTGTGTACCGTTAGCATTTTGAAGACTATCCAAGCAGCTGTATGAACAAAACTTAAAGTAGTTCTCAAGAAATTTTACCAAAGCACTTGGTGCCTTCTCAAACCTCAGTTCACACATTGTCCAGTTCTTCTTTTTCAGTACTTTTATCCAAACATACAGTTTTAAGCTCAATAATCCCTGAAGTTGTTCACTAGTCTTGACCCGTAGGGTGCAGGCAGAGCAGCTGAAGATGCTGAACGTGAAAGGCGGGAACGAGAGGAAAGACTAAGACATACACGAAATCCAGCTGTACGTGGATTACCCTCCACTGCTTCTGGCAGGTTAAGAGGAACGCAAGATGTAGCTCCTCCTACTCCCCTTACCCCAACTTCACATGCTGGTAAGTAAGCAAGTACTGGGTAAGTACTTATAGACTACTCTAATTGACAGTTTGTGTCTGGGCAGAGTTTGGCCTTTTGGTTTGTTTTTTTCTCCCTTGCTTTTTAGTAGATTGAAGGTATTTACATACATTCATTGCCTGGCAATTGATACTTGTATTTCTATGAAATGTCAAACAGCAGCCTTGATTCCTCGTTTGGTTATGTGGAATTCTTATGTGCAAACACCAAGAGTGTAATTTTTCCAGTCACCGTGTTAACATGGCATTTCTCATTATGGGACTCTAATGCTGTTTTTCTCACAGCCAACACCTCTCCTCGGCCAGTATCCGGTATGGAACGAGAAAGGAAAGTGAGTATGAGATTGCATCGTGGTGCCCCAGTCAATATCTCCTCATCTGATTTAACAGGCCGACAAGATACCTCTCGCATGTCAACTTCGCAGGTAAAAAAAAAATAAATCTGTGTATTGGAAAAAATGAAGGCGATTTGATAAAGTTAATTTGCCATAAGAACTTAGAAGGTAATTGATGGGATTTCATACTGGTTTTGCAGATGATGTTCATCGTGTAAATGCTTGACATTTAGCCTGAATGATGGGGGTGTAAAGAAATTTTTATTTTTACCTTGACAGCAATGAGAGGATGCAAAATTCTAGAGGTGCAACATTTTAACCTCTTATTATGGGATTTAGCTCCTTGACTAATTGACTTTATTATATATGTTATCCGTGAAGAAGCAGAGTAAGAGATAGTGAATTTTGTTTCCAGATCAGCGGAGCAGACAGTATTGGTGCAGAAAAGGCAAGAAGCATTTGGTGAAGAGCACTGTAGTGCAGTGCTCTTAATTCAGAGCCAATAAGAGGCCACATACATGGATCATACATATGTTACAGAAGGCTCATTTGAAGAGAATGGCAGGAGGATAAATGATAACGATTCATAGTCAGCACTGAAATCATCCTTGCTGCTCACAGTGACTTAGCAAAGAAATTTTAGGAATCTCTTTTTATGGCTAACAGTGTTAAATGTGTTTCTAACTCTGTGCTGTAGCTAAAACGTTCCTTCCTCAGCTTATTGACAGTCTTGTCCTAAATAGCGTGTGGCTTGGCTTTGTACCATTTACTTTTAGTCTTACTTACAAAATGGAAATCAGCCGATTTGTAGACATTCTGCAACATTTCCAGGAAAGCAATATGTTAGCAGACTATTGCGGTGACCTAGAGGTTTTTCCATCATGCCTCACTACTGTGCAGGAGCTCTAACTGCATCATTTTTGCTAGAGACTTGTTCCTCGTTGACAGAGCACATTGACAAAAAAATAACTTGGTTCCTTTTGGCTTCATCATTTAATCGGCAGAGTTAATTACTTTTGGATAGTATGTGTTCTTAGTTATGAAATCTTACTGCTTGAAAGAACAGTTTTTTAGATGGGGCCCAGGTGGATATCTCTAATTAAGACTGAGTGTTAAGTGGGTTGGAGAAACAATTCCATTGTGATAAAAGCGAAGTGGGACTTGGGTCAGGGGAGGTTTTAAGCTGAATTAGTTGCTTCACCATGTAGCTGCACATATACTTGTGCTTGCACAAGGGATGAACAGTTCAGGAGCAGAAATGACTGGGAAAGAATAGGGTATAGGTAGGGTTTTCTCTACTGGTTTTGCTACAAGTTTCACCATCTGAAATTGTTCACTGAACTGCTATTCTTGCCTCCAGAAATTTTCACATTGAAGTATTTTTAAATACTTTGAAAACTAAGAGGGGAGAATTGTGCATAGTTATGGATCTTGTAAATTTGTGTAACTACCTGTTAGAAGAATGTAAAGAAGGTGCAACCAGACTGTTCGCAGCAATATCCAGTGAATGGACAAAGGAGGGTGGGCACAAATTGAAATACAGGAAATTCCATTTAGACATACAGAGAAACTTTTTTACTATGAAGGTAGGCAACGACTATAACAGGTTGCCCAAAGAGGTTGTGGAGTCTCCCTTTCCCAAATTACTTGGAGCCCAACTGGGCATAGTCCTGAGTGGCCTGCTCTAGACTGTACTTTGGGTAGTGGGATTGGGCTACATGATTTCCAGAGGTCCCTTTTGACTTTGAATATTCTGTGAGGCTGTGGTGCAGACTTCTCCCTGAACATTTACTTTAATATAAAGATGGTTTCTTGGCAAAGTGTATTACCAGGTCTTTGGTATTCTGAGCAAATCGTGGATGTTTTGTGTCTGTTAACAGTCAGATAAATGAGTTATAACAGTAACAGACAGAAATGCAGTGATGCCTCTTGATTGTTTTAGGTACATGTACATCTTTAATGTTTTTGCTATGTTTGTGACATGTCACTCATTGTGGAGGTGACACTATTATAAACATTTCAAGATGCAAGTAATGTAATTGGGCTTGTAGATCCATTTTGGTTCTACTTGGCCTGTAGAATGTGAATACTGTGAGGGCAGTGGGCAGTTTTCTGAATGATCTTTAAACATCCAGATGTGTAATTTGTGATATGGGCCAACAGTACCATCTGGCTTAATGGCACATTCCATACCTGCTCTTTTTAACACTCTGCTCCAAGTATAGGATCACTTGGTTGACTTCCTTACAGTCTCAAAAACAGCCTAGTTGAGATCTTCTCGTGAGTTTGTTAGAACTAATAATTCGTTGACTGCTGTCTTCATGTAGTTCTTAAGACAGTGAACCAGTGCTGGTATCTACTCATGGTGGCCAAATAACAGTGTGTAACTGTAGTATAATTTGAACAAATTCCCATGGGCCTGTTGCAATTGGAGGGCAAGAGAGATTTGTAGGGGGGATGAGTTGGATTGGAAGGGCCTTTAAAGATCACCTTATTCCGACCACCCTGCCATGGGTGGAGAACCTTCCAGTAGGCCAGGTTACTCAGAACCCCATTCAGCCTTGCCTTGTACATCTCCTGAGATGAGGAGTCCACGACCTCTCTAGGCAACCTGTTCTAATGCCTCACTGCCCTTACAGTAAAGAATTTCTTCCTGATAAATAAATTACCCTCCTTCAGGTTAAGGCGATTCACCCTTGTCCTGTCACTATATGCACTTTTTACATGCCATGTGAACAGCCCCTCTTCAGCCTTCTTGTAAGCCCCCTTTGGGTACTGCAAGGCTACTCTCAGTTCTCCCTAAAATCTCTTCTCTAGGCTGAACAGCCCCAACTGTCTCAACTTGTTTTCATAGGAGAGATGCTCCAGCCCTGTGGTTGACTTAGTGGCTCTCCTCTGGACTCATTCTAACATTGTCAGCATTGTTCTTGTGTTCGGGGCCCCAGACCTGGATACAGCACTCCAGATGGGGTCTCACAAGAGCAGAATAGAGGGCAAGAATCCCCTCTCTTGAGTTGCTGGTTGCTTTTCTTTTGATGCAGCCCAGGACGCGGCTGGCTTGCTGGGCTGCAGGTGCACATTACTGAGTCATGTTGAGCATCTAATCCGTGAACACACCCTAGTCTTTCTCCCCGGAGCTAATTTTGATCCATTTTTCACCCAGCCCTGTACTTATGCTTGAGGCTGACCTGACTCACATGCTGGACCTTGCATTTGACCTTGTTGAACTACATGCAGCTCCCAGAGACCCACTTCTCAAGCTTGTTAAGATCTCTTTGGGTAGCATCCCTTTCCCTATAGCAGGTTGACTGCACCACACAGCTTCTTGTTGTCAGTAAATTTCCTGAGGGTACACTTGTTTCCACTGTCCTTGTTGCTGACAAAGATTTTGAACAGCACCACTCCTATACTGAAGAAATACCACTCATCACTGCTTTGCACTTGGACATGGACTCACTGACCACAATTCTTTGAGTGCAACCATCTGGCCAGTTTCTTATCCACCAAGTGGATAAGCACCACTCTATCCAGGTGGTCCATGTGTCAAATCTGTGTCTCTCCAGTTTAGAGGCAAGGGTATCATGCGATACAGCATCCAGTGCTTTGCACAAGTCTGGGTGGGTGACATATGTGGCTCTTCCCTCATCCACCATTGCTTAGCCACACTGTAGAAGGTCACCAAATTTTTTGGGCACAATTTACCTTTAGTGAAGCTATGTTGTCTAACACCAATCACCTCCTTATTCTCCATGTGTTTTAACATAGTTTCCAAGAGGATCTGTTACATGGCTTTGTCAGGCGCTGAGGGGAAACTGACCTGTAGTTCCCTGTGTCATATTTGCCTTTATAAAACTGGGGGTTATGGTTTCCCCTTTTCCAGTCAGAGGGAACTACACTGGACTGCCATGACATCTCAAATATGATGGGTAGTGGTTTAGCCATTTACTCGGCCCTATCCCTCAGACCCCATGGATGGATGGATGTCATCAGGTATCAGACTCATGCACTTTCAGGTTCCTTAAGCAGTCCCAAACCCAGTCATCTTCCACAGTGGATTTTCCCAATCCCTGCCTTCACCTTCTGCACCACCTTCTTGGGTGATGTGGCTGAAACATTTTACTCAGACTATAGCTTATAACACTACTACTTGAGCTTGCTAGAGAAAATTCACTTTTCGTTCTCCCAGTTGTCACTCTCTAGCAGGCAGGATGGTGCAAGTTGCAGGTGTTGATAGCTTATGCTCTTCACAGTTTTCTTAATACTAAAGTAGTTCTATAATCAAAATTTATCCTTAGATGTTAGCCAGATCAACAGTTATAGCCATGAGTTTCCCATTATCTTTATACCTTGTTCTTAGGAAAACCTAAAGTATTGGAGTTATGTGGCAAAGTCATTAAAGCAAATTTTGATTGGAGGGATGTAAGAATATAGAGAGTCATCCATATCACTTCTTATCAAGAGAATTGTAAAGAATACCAATTGCTTGTCCATGTCCATTGCAATTGTGCTAGTTTCCTTAGTAAGTCTTAAGTAAATATACTACCACAGGTCCTTTTTCAGGAAGTGCTTAAGCCATACTCCTGGTGGAAAGCAACGTTTAGCATTTACCATGCATATCTACAGATATTTTCTGATAAGAACTACATTTGTTAGAGTTCTTATTTATAAGAATATATGTTAGTTTTGTTATTTAATTTACTTTATGCCTTGGTTTGGTAAGGCAACAGTGCATCTGCAATCTCCCTCCACCTCTGTTCATCTAGAGGAAAGACTGCTGCTTGTTAAATTCTGCACAATGAAATGCACAGAGTTTACTCAGGCCAGGAAAGTTATTTGCCTATAAGTAGAGTTCTTAAAGATGATTACTCCATGTGTTTATCTTTCTTTTTTCCAAATTGAATTCTGATCAAGTCAGACTGAAACTGAAAAACTAAGCCTATGAATGCAAATAATAGGAACTGGAGTTCTCTTATGAAAACTAGGCATTTTTATAGAAATTTAATGCTCGTGGAAAAATGGTAATTGGTAAGCATAGCAAAATAGGTATAATTCCTGGCATCCAGGATGGTGTTCTCATAGCACCTAAGTCATTCTCCTTAAAAAAGACATGCAGTTTCTAGCACTAAGTAACAAGCATTTGAACATTTACTAGAATAACAACTGCCATGTCTATGAAATGGTTTGTGAAACTTAAGTGTTTCTAATGAAATAATGAAAATTCTATCACACATGTTATTCAGTACGTTTCTGGATTATATGAAGTAAATGCAACAGCAAAAAACCTCCAAGTTGTGAGTACACAGTGATAAACATCAGTAGGAGCTGAGCGGTCAAGCACAGTCTATTCAAATGTGTATTCCTGCAGTACTTCAGATTCTGGTTAGGATGAAGAAGTGGAAGCTGTTTTCCTGTAGGGGCAGCTGTATCTGTGGTAAGTAATGACTGAGGAGGCAGGTGTAATGTTGGACTAGTTGGTGTGGTTTTCTCCTTGAATCTATGTATGATACAATCATGAACAGAAGTGGAGATGTTACTTTGTGTCATTAGTGATATGGATTGGGAGAACAGATTGTACAGTTTCAAATCTATTTCTTTCAGTTTGTACATAAAGCTAAGAAAATGTCTTGAGTGAGTTGGTGTAGTGTTTGAGACACAATGATTTTAACAGGAATTAATGTTTAAGGATAAAACACATGAAAAACCTATGGCATAAAATTAAAACCACTCACAAGTAAAGAAAGACAAAACAGAGGTCTAAGTGAAAGTTGTTACCTACTAAAACAACTTCTAAAATAAGTAGATCATCTCTCCTCGCTGCCTTTGCATCGATACTGGATTAATTTCTAAGTGGTGTGTTCAAGTTTAAAGTAAGCCTAAATTACAGCAAGCCTAAATCTGTATGCAGTGTGTTGGACAGAAAATCATACCAGCTATTAAAAGATTCTTCTGCTCTTAAACACTAAGTGAATTGTTCCCCAAGTCTCCTTTACACAAAGTTTTTAAACATTAAGAGGCATAGTAAAGGAGGTCGTAAATGAGGTAATGAATATTCTAGTAAAAACTACTTTGAATCAGTTCTGCTGGTCCACATGCACAGACTGCATCCTGAAAGCAGTGATCATCTCAGGAATCTAGTTATGGGTGAGTTGTCTTCATTTCCTTCAACGAAAGGTTCAGTCTGACTGCTCGTGGTTACACAGTAAGTTGTTTAATATTTTTTTCCTGAATGTAGCATGTTCAACACCCAACAGTAAAAGCTGTGGCAAATTCGTGTTGGTAACAGAGGTATTCTCTGTAGTTGGAAGGAAGAATTGAAATGCTGCACAAAGAAGTATTTGATTAAGTCTCTTTGATGAAAGAAGTTTTTAGAAGACTATAGCCAATACTGCCATTGAATAACTTAAGTGTTGTGCCATACTTCCAGTGCTTCTTCATTTTCCATTTCTGCATCCACAAATCTTTCTCCACATATCCATCTTAATAGGCATCATGCTCTGCGTTGTTCTTCTGACCTTGTCAGCTTCCTTTGAGGATTAATGATTTTTTTCTTTTACGTACCTCTTAATACGATGCAAATGTCTTATAGAAGTCTGAATTCAGAGCTTCTCAAAAGATAGAGTTGCTACTGCAAGATCAGGTTGGATTTTGTTAAGACATCTTTATATATTGGGGCAGTGGAACTGTTAAAAATTGCTGTCTTTTCCCCTACCTCAGAATAGCATTCCTTTCGAACACCATGGCAAGTAGCTGCTCGTCTCCTTTCGTTGGAAGGCAGCACTGGGTGAGTGCTTCTCATTAGACACCAAAACTTTGTATGGGGTGGGGAAAAAACTCTTCAGAAACATCCGACTTTGCTTCTTCTACTTATGTGATCTCATAGTTGTATCTGTGCCTTCTGGTTGGATCCTTGATGAAGCATTGATTTTTCTCTAACTTAAAAGTAAATGTCTTTCCAAAAGCTGAGTTATTGCTGCTGTTCCACTTGGACTCTTAAGCAGAGTTGACAATAATAATGACCTAAAAGGTCCCTTAAATTGTTCAAGTATCAACAATAAAGTAAAATAGCCAAGTTGAAATTTTTAGCTGTATGAGAATTATATATCTTTCCAAGGATGTTGATGCAGCAGGATGTCTTCCACTAAAAACCAGATCTGCTTCAGAATCATTAAAGTAAAATACCTGTACAAAGACTCAATTAACAGTATTGCTCAAATGAGGCTCTGTCTTGTCTTTTCATGAATGGAATGTTCTGTTACAGCCATGTCCATTTTTCACTGTTTTATATTCTTCTCCATGCCTTATAAGCTCTCATTTTAAAACTACTCAGATCTGTTCAGATCTGTATATTAAAAAAACGTTCACATACTAACAGGAATAGTCGACCATGAACATCTCAGAGGTAGACAGACTTGAATTTAGGTATTATGAAGTCCTTTCCACTGTTCAGTACAGTAGAAGTTTCTGCTATTCTGTGTGCAGCTTTTGGCTTTTTAGTCTGTTCTGCTTTTGGCATTAACAGGTTTCATGTGAGAAATAACAGCTTTCAGTTGGAATCAGGACCTTAGTGCCTGAAGGGTTACTTTTCTTAAGTATGTCAAGAGCTTCTTTGATTTGCTACTTATTAAAAAAAAAGTTGTGAAAGTTTTCTGTTCCTTAATAAACTCTTGTCTGCTGTCTCACTTTCTCTATAAAGCCTAAGCTTGCATTAATCCTGTGTTTCTAGATGGTGAAGAATCCTGCTATTTCTCTTCCGTTTTCTCCTGCTTTGTGTGCTTTGCTGACTCTGCACAACCTGCTTCATGAACAGTTTATAGCATTAAAAAGATCCAACTGTAAATGACAGCTTAACACTTTGAAGAACAGTTATCAGATCTTAGTAAAAAAAATAGATATTAAAAATAGGTATAAAAAAAATGCAGAAAAACAAAGCTTTGCATTGAAAAGCCTGTATGCAGGAGACAAGCACATTCTGGTCTGGATTGCACCTGAGTTGGTTGGCCTATGCTGTATGCCTTAGTATTTGTAGCTGTTCACATTTGAAACAAATACTGAATAATGATCCAGCTACTTAGATGTTTCTCGCTTCTTAAATTCCAAAGATGTATGGTTGTTTTTCACTTTCATGGTGAAAGTGATAAGAAATAATGCTACCTGTACTTCAGTAGGTCAAGCTATGGAAATACAAGAAGTGTCTTCTAACACAATGTCCCATGGAAAGTGAAAAGCTATTGAAGATAATGAATTTCTTTTTTATCTTCTTAATATTTTTTAAAATTAATTATCCATTGAGTCTATTACTGTGTGTTCATAGTGTTTTCTTCTGGTTGGTTCTTTCTTCTGCACATGTTTATGCTTTGTCTAATTTTCTTCAAAACATCCCCTCTGGCTGGAAAGGTGAATTTTCCATGTTGACTTCTAATAAAAGAGGAAAATAGTAGGGAACTTTGTGTAGCTACAGGTGGGTGTGAAACACTGTATTTCTCATTGGATTTTAAATTAACACACTTAAATTTTGACAATTAATAGTTTAGAAGTACATTGTGAGACACTCGTATGTTAACTGGAAGGATATGTGCTGATGTTGTCTTGTTTTTTGGCTTTGGTAGATTCCTGCTCGGGTTACTCCCAGTGTTCTTCAGTCCACTGTGCACCGATGAAAATTATTTTGCCATGGAGGGCAGATAATGCATGGCTGATCTTCCATGTTATTAATGGCTTTACTAGCAAATATACCCTAAACTAGAGTGGAAATTGGAGTTCTCCATGTGACCTAAAAGGCTCTTGGAGGAACATGCAGAGACTCCAGCAGCTGCCATTACAGGACGCTTTTGCCAGAAACCCAATGACCTTAAGAGAACCCTGTGGTAACAGGGCTGGAAAAGAAAGATGGTTTACAGAGTTGACCGCCTATTACTGGATGGCCATTTCAGTTTTCCCTCCACAGGCGGCAGACTTTACTCCCTTTTTATTATTCTACTGTAACTATAAATCTTTTACTTGGTTTATGAAAATTTTTTGTATCATTTTGCTAAAATTATTGGCTTACTTCTCTGTAAAGAACTCTTGCTTTTGTCTGATTTAAAAATGTAGAGTATAAACAATCCTGAACTAAAGACTTGAAATTTCTTGTTTGAAATTTCTGTCTGCCAGGGAACATGTAAATGATTCAAAACCATCTACTGCTATTTAAATTGTGTACTTTCATGTATTGTCCTATTCTGAATTGGTTTTCTCATGAAGTTTTTAAAACTGTTAGAAGTTTATTTTACAGTTTGCTGTCTTCATTCACACTGGACATGTAACTTTCTGTGTAGCACAAATGAATTTTTTAATACTCATGTTTCATAGAAGAGGATAACCAAATACTCTGCAGGAGAGTCTTAAGTATAGTAGAGATTGTAATGATGAATTTCTTTTTTGTAAAGAAGATTAAGAACAAAGTAAAAGACTGACGTTTGAGGGATTTAGAATTAGAGAGTTTGTTTGTCTCTCTGCCTAGTTTGGGTGAATGGATACTTTCAAACACTTTTTACTCAGAAAATTTTGTTTCCTCTTCTCTGAGGCTGGTTAGCTTGGAGACTATTACAAGTGCAAAACAGACATTGCTGCTGAATCTTCAGTGAATTTGCATGTTTCATTCAGTATCCACATGTTTATAAACAAATACATTTATTTAGGCCTTCTATTACATGCCAAGACTCAAAAAAGGAATTCTTATACAAAACAAAGAAAACATAAACAACACCCCCATAAACCTAGTAATGTATTCTTGCCATAAAATCCTGATAATTTTTACAATTCAGATGCATATCATATTTAATTCTTAAGTATATTTAACCTGAGAATGCCCAGAGTAATTATCTAGGCGTTAATGACTCAACATGCTCAGGTTGTTGAAGGTGTTGTTGGCTCCTGTTGGTTATGAAATATGGGAAATTCTTCATACTGTCTGTTGCTATAAATGGTCTCGTAAAACTACGCGTTCTGTCCTTGCTGTACTTGGAACAGTACCAGAACTCTTATGACTGAAATTATGGGAAGTTCTATGCTGGATAGTATGTGCAGAGATTTTGTTTGAACAGTTAGGTATTTTGAGAAATTGAGACTATTTTTAAAGTGGTATTGGTCTTCAGATTTTAATGAAAAATCGTTTTTATTTTTGGGGTGTTTACAATTTCTTTTTTGCTCCTCTCAAAAGTCCATGTACCAAATATTATTATTCTTCTCTGGATGCTTTCATAACATTAGCTATTTGCTTGTGTGTACTCTGGGTCAGACTGGGGGAAATGTGTGTTTGGGGAGAGTATAGTGGAAAAGCTCGAGAATTTGATTGATTGGTTAGTTTGCATAAGAGAATTATTTCCTCAGTTACTATAAACTTTGGTATTTTAGGCATGTGCACTACCATTTGAGCACTTTTATACTTCACTGTGCTTTCCTTGTAAATATCTGTGGTTAATACTGTAATGTTTGAGGGACTTAAAAACAGCCTCTTTATTTCCTATGTATCTGGACCATTAGATTGCTGTACTATACTTAAAAGTTGACTGCAGACTTCTAGAATTGTACTCACTTGGGGGCAGTTTTTGTCCTCATAATAGTTAAATTCCATCATGCAGAAAATAGTTAGACTGTCTGTATAAACCTGTGTATAAGCCAGTATCTCAAAGCACTTCGTATGTACTACCACTGTATTTGTGTACTTTAACAGTTGTGTAAATATATTCATAATAACTTCTGTTCTTCTTGGTGTAACTTACTGACTTGCAATGAATCTTTACCATTTACCTGATGCAACTCTTCTCTTTTTTATTTTTTCCTTATTTTTCTCCATTTTTTTTCTTTTATTTTTCTTTCTTCCTTTTTTACTTTTTTTCTTATTTCCTTTTTTTTTTTTTAATTTTTCAAGGGATTTCTGTATCTGCAAAGAATATTGTCAGTTGCAAACATTTGAAGATACTGTCTTGGTACCAAAACTTTCAGTGAAAGAGTTTGGTAGTTATGATCCTGGGGTATACAGGAAGAAAGAGAAAGCATTAATTGCTTTGCTCACAGAAAGCATGCCTTTTTGCCAGTTTAAAAGTATATGTTTTTGTTTGGATACTTTTTTTCCCAGAAGTTTTTTATTTTGTACAAATGCTTTTGCTTATCAAGTAATGCATGGTATTGATAAGAAAGTATAGTAGGGGAATTGGATCAGTTATGGGAGCCAAGATAAAAGCAAGAAAAACAGTGAGCTGTACTCATGATGGTGCCCTGTGTAATAAAATTCCAGTTTTTGCTATGTGATTTTAAAAAATCTATTATAATCCAAGGGTAGACATACTTTCAGGAACCCTCCATGTTTTCTTATTAGCAGGCCTTTAAAAGTTGGAAGGATATTTTAATTTCTTCTCATGGTTTTCATTTAAAATTGTGTATATGCTTTTATATGGAAAATACCACCTCTGCTGCTTTTTTACATAATCTTGATTGGTTACAGAGTCCTTGAGTTTTTTGTGGTACAAGTACTTAAAAAAAAAAAAAATCCTCTGCTTTAAGAGAGATACTAAGAAAAAAACATTTGAGTCCATATATTCCATGTGTAACTTCATGAAAATATTCAGAACACTCCTTGGAGGAAGGCATGTTGAAGAAGTCATCATTTCCAGTAGGAAAAAATATCATAAGCACAAAAGTAGAAAGAGTAGTAGACGAAAAGTCAGAAGAGCAAGAACTAGCCTCTCTTAATGCTCTGAAGTATTCATCTGGGAGTTGTAAGGAAGGCTACCAACTGAAATATTGCTGACATGATGACGCAAATATAGCGATCAGTCAAGGAACTAACTGTATATCTAGAGGTAAGTAGCTTTTTACTCTGTCTCTTTAATTTGTCATACATTCTCAGGCAAATACAGGACTGCTGATGTCACTGTTCACTAGCAAAATGCTTTTTAGACCATAAGCATTTTAATGGTCTTTAGTAGATATACCTTGTTCCTACTGACACAAAAATGAGCTCTATCTCAGAAGCATTGAGAAAGCTGCTAAAACAATCAATTCCAAAGCTGTTCCTTCTCATTTGCAGTGCCACTGCTGTTGTCAAGGTTGTTTAGTCTTCCACAAGCAGACGAGTACTTCCTTCAACAGGTCCAGCAGAAGGGAACAGCAGCTGTGCAACTCAGGTGGAGCCCATTTTCCCCTACAGTGAATGACACCACTTCCTTCTTTCAGTCTCCAAGAAGACCAGAGGCAAAGATAAATTCTGGTTTTCTGTCATAAGGGTGGGCTGACTACACACTAGTAAGTTCTGTCATTTTAATCAATCGAGTAATATTAATTCCTTCAGCAGTATATGGCTTGGTTTGGCCATTGGGGTGGCAAAGCATTTGATTACACCTTAAGTCTTGCCAATTTAATTAAACTAGGATAGAAAAGGTAATCATGTGCTATTTTCTTGCCAGAGATACTTAAGTACAAGTAGGTATCTTCAGATCCCACAATATATGTCTTCACTGAAGAGCTTATAATTTTGATTCACTTGGCTGTAGCCTTGAGATTATACCTTGAGGAGCCAGTCCTAGCTAAGGTACCATAGGAGCCAAAAACCCACAACATAACTGTATGCCTGCACTGTGTTTTCTTAGGAGCTTTCAAGTTCTAAAGAGCATCACTTGACAGTAAAGACAGCTTGCCAGCATGTCGGTATTAAAAATATTTTGTGCTTTATAAGTCATGACAGTTCATAAAACTTTACCTGTAAACAAAACCCAGAGCACTATTCAGAGGAGAACATTAATATTTTTTTACACAGCACAGCACAAAATTAATTGCTGTTATTTTAAATTAGATGATGCTTTAAAATAGTAATCAGGATCATTTACAGCAGAAGCAATATCCATTTTGGAACTGGCCAAACTGTGAGTCATGGCAAAACAGTTCCCTTGCCCATATTAAATTCTGGCTGCCTGTCAACTGTCAGCTCTTCTCTATAAACACTCTGGCTCTGTGTAGCTGTTTAATAGACATGTGCAAATGAAACCAAATGTCCATATTGGAGTGTTTATTTTTTATGAGCTTATTTTCTCAAACCCACAGTTTCTGACAATCAGATATTTATTCACTACATTTGCAACAGTTTACTAGAAAAGCATTTAAAAATTACTAAGTATAAATATACACATTACATTAAAGTGCATTAACAAGAAACAAAATGTCATCTCACACAAAATTGAAGTGTATTCCCATAATCCTAAAGACAAATGTGGCAAAGAGATACAGATGCACATACACAAGTCAATACTTACCATTACAACATGTAGGCATTTGCATTCTGAAATTCTTCTGTTTATGATTTATAAACATTGATTGTTTATGATTATGATTTGTCTACCAAACTAAACATTTTATTTGGGATGTACCGAAGGTGCATATGTGAATTTTGCTTTTTCATTTTGAAGTTTGGTTGCTTGATTAGGGGAATGTTCTCATTTATTTTTAAAGAATGATTCTACATTGTCTAATACAGGTTTGTGTAGATGGAATTTAATATTAGCATGAGATCTCTCCAGTCCTTTACACCATACCTTCATACCATCTATTTCAAGTCTTAACTTTAGGGAACTGGCTTAGCTTGAAACAAATAGCTGAATCACTTTAAGACTTCTAGTTCTGCTGAGGTCTTATAGGCTTCAAATGACTACAGAATATTTAATTTAGAATTTTCAATAAAGCAAACTAATCTTTGTATAGAAGGAAGAAAATTTTAACTCTGCTCATTGTCTAATAAATGGGAAAACTGTCATCTACTCCTGTGGGTATTTTGCATATATATATATATATACACACACACATATGTAAATATGTATGTGCAAACATGAATTCTTTTTTATATGTTCTCTGTGTATTACTGGCATTTATACACATTTCATCTTGCATCAGGCCCTTATTTTTCTTCAGATCCTTTACATAATAAATCATACAATACTTTAACCATGAATCCTATAGTACTCAATTTATAGAATGTGTGAAGATCCAAAATGCTTTAAAAATTTTGCTAGCCTGCAGTAAAAGACTATTCACTACTTTCAGAGAAATAATCTTTGAAAACTGTTTTGGTTTTTTGATTGTTTACTTTCTAGACTTCTTAGATATATTAACGAACTGTGTGTCAAAAGAAATTACATTTGTTTCAATAGTGTATGATGCAGGAGTAAACTACAATCCTGGGATGCTTGGCAATTTAGTTGCGTAATTACCTACATTCCCTTCCTTTTCCTTTTCCCTTTTTTCAAATCACAAAATTTTAATCAAGTGAAGGTTGAACAAAGGTTCATCTGGGTAGATGTTGCATGAAACTGTTCTGCCTGTGACCCTGAGCAATCAATGTCTCTTTAGAAATGCTTTATGGCTTTGACCATATACATCCTCAAAATATATGGATGAGCACATCTCACAGACTGCTTTTAAGGGCATCTCAGTGGTATTGAGATTAAAGAAATAAAGTACCAAAGTACCTGGAGGAATTTTAAATTAATTCCTTGCATTTAAATATACAAATACTTTTAAAAAATATTTATCAATCCATTTAAATATTTACAATAAGCAGAGTTAAGTTAAAAAAGGAGTCTGCCTGGACAGTGCTGGGAACCTAAGGACTAGTGCTTGTGGGGTTTAGTTTCAGTTGGTTTTGACTTTTTAACACATTGGGGCAGAAGGAGAGAGGTCTGTAAAACAGGAGACCAATAACCCTTTGCAGCCATGTCAATAGGAGCAGTTGGGTACTTGCTTTAACACAGTCTAGTATAGTGGCCACCAGCCTAGGGACCTGGCATGGAGGTTTCCTTCCCATCAGTATAACAAATCTCTTTACAAGAAGATAAAGGCAGCTGAACAGAAAGAGGACTGGAGGGCTAGCACACACTTGGGTGTTACCCTTGAGTGGGACAGAATGGGAGCAGGGAGCTTAACTGGCTCTAGAACTCTGAAGTACCCTCAAGCCTGCCACTTTGGATGTTCCTGAGAGTGCTACATTAGGAGTTTCTCACCTTTGTATTGATGCTTCTTACAATTAATTAAAATGATAAAAGATTTTACACTGTTAATGTTTTTTAAAACTGCTTAGTGAATTAAATTCTAACTTTTTTTTTCCTCACAGTCAATAAAGAGTCCTTTGATTTGACCACTCTCATGAAGTAAGCATCTCCTGCTGTCATAAATACTGCCAGTCATTGGTGTAGGTCTGTGCTGAAAACAGCACAAGAGCATTGGCAGTCCCAGTCAGAGTGATTGATCTTTGAGTTGAAGAAAATAACTCGTATAGGCAAATGAGGCCTTTCTTTGAACACTGGTTTTACTTATGAGATTATTTATGGTTTCTTGTTGAGCTGTGTCTCCTTGTCTTCCTAACTTCCTTTTCTGTCTCAAATCCCATAAAATTACAACATAAAACTTTTTCCAGCTTAACTATAAAAATATTATGTATGGAAAATGAAACATGGTCTGGAAAGTCAGTATGATAAGCACAAATTACATTCTGTCACATATAAAATAGTCTAGACAATTTGCAGAACCGACAGAAACTTAAACTTGTGCCAAAACCTGAGGTCAAAGAAATAACCATTTAGTTCTGTAATAACTGCATGGCATTATCTAGCAAAGAAATTCAGTGATCAAAGCACACAGTAAGACAAAAATGGCTATCTGAGAATCTGAATTCATCTTTGGAAAGGTTTATAGTTTCTGCTTTTTGAAACAACGGGGAATTCCAATCTGAAAGCTGTATCAGGCCTTCATGTATCATCTGAAGCAGCCTCCAATACAAAAAATTACTTTGTGGATTCTGTTTTTCTCTAGCCTTCTGGAGCTGTCAGTGTTGTGTTTCAAGTACCAATTTAGTCTTTAGCAAACTGGAGCTAAGTTCAGGAATTAAGCTGTTACAATTGGGAAGTGTCATTCACTACAATTGCTGCCATTAAATTAATAAGACTAAAATAATGCACTACGTAGGATATAAAACCAGTTTATTTTATGCGGCATCAATTTCTTTTAAAAGTTATGATTCTAACTTTCCGATTTCTTTGCAAGATTGTCCTAACAATGCAAAACTATTTTGAAGAAACTTCCAAAATGGAAGCTATTATCTGAGATCATTCATTAGAGAATGGTTTGTGGTTTTGGCACTTTGTTTCTGTTAAAAATTTAAAGTGGATACTGAGTTTTAAGGGATTAGGGTCTTTCAATTTTCAGTTATTAGGTGGAACAATTTTGGCACCTAAAAGCCAATATTCCTTTGCTACTACTAAGAAAATGGAATCTGTTACATTAGTCTGTTTTGAAGATTGTTACTGCAGTTACAAAGCCTAGACATCTTTTTATATGCAGATTTGAGAGGTGGGATGCAGTAGCATGATTTTATAGTTAAAAAAAAATTAAATTTCTTGAGTAGTTTTGAGTGGAAAAAAATACAATGCCTTCCTTTTCTATTCAGTACCATGCCATCATAAAAATGATGAACAGTTCTATCATGTTTCCTCAAACAGCAAGAATGGCACTTTGAACGTCCACAGATTAAGCCAGGAGGTAGGGAAGTGGATAAATGGGGAAGAAAGAAACCTCAAAAATAAACACGTTAAAATCTTTCCATTATGCTAATATTGCATTTTATGGATGACTAACATGTTTCAAAGCAGTTCAGTCTCTTTCCTAAGTCTCCCCACTCTGTAAGTCATCTGGAAACTTGCACCATCATTTCTTTCATATGCAAAATGGACACTTTTTCAAAATATTCTACTAATCTTCTCCATGTTACTTGCAATATTTTTCAATGCTCTAGGGAAATTTTACTGAAAACAGTGTATGGAATTGTGGGCTAATTTTGTTTCCTTAAGATCTGTCAGGATCCATTCTGCTCCTTTTTTTTTTTTTTTGAGTACTACCTTGGAATACCACTTGTGTGATCTGCTGAGGACACTGTCTGTAATGTGCCTTTCCAAAAACAGGATTTCCAGATGATAATTGCACAGGTTACAGGTTTAGGCAGAAATGCATTTACATAAATCAAAGTTACAGACATTTTCAAAATTAAATTAGGGCTGAGCCAATTAATCTAAAAAATCTAAAAAGGTAAGAAATTAAAAAACCTAATGGAGACCTTTAAATTCCTGAGATTATTACCCATCTCACATTCCTTTCCCTTCACAAAGAACATAGGGAAATTATATTTAGCCACACAACACAGCAATTTCATCAGTACTATCTGAAAACATACATATAATTTCACTTTTCTGAAAATATACTTTTCCTGTATCTTCCAAGTGAGCAGTTTCTGGTGATGCATAGCAAGAGCCTATTTGTGTTCATAAAAGCTTTTTAGTTTACAGAAAATGTATAACCACAATGTTCCACCTTTTACCAATAAAGTTATTTTCCCATTAAGATGTTGTCTAGCTAATCAGCTTCCAAAGAGATCTGGTAAGCTGACTAGCCCCCAGTTACTAAAGCAGATGGCCCAACCCTAAACTATTTTTGTTTATAAAATAAATACTGAAAATCTTTCTTTTCTAAACACTTTTCAGTTCCTTGTCATGCTCACACACATGTTTCTGGGTTAGTTACAACTTCACCATTTTTTTCAGGCTCATCTTTCAGAAACTGTTCCACTTCAATAGAGTCCACTTTGGCATCTTCAGGAGTTTTTTCAGATTTGTTTAATTCCTCTCTTTCTGCTGCTTCTTCTTTTGTATGTGGTTCTTCTGATTTCTTCTTAATGCAGAAGAAATTTCCCAAGGCCAATACAAGGGCTGAGGTGGTAACTTCAATTCCAGCAATAATGAAAACAAACATGTACCTCCCTGTTGCATCCAGGAGTTTTCCTGAAAAACGCAACATTCCAAATAATTAACAAAAGTTACTATCTTGCAGTGAATATTTTTCTGATTTTTTTCAAACATTTTGACTTTCCTGTCTAGAATCACCATGACTACCTAACCAAGTTTTTTGAAACAGGATTTAAACAAGTTTGTAGCAAAATACTTCTCAATTATTTCAGTTCAGCTTAACAGTCACCGACACTACATGACATACCAAAACACATATTCAGCTGCACACACAGAGGCATGCAGTTCATCTGAAATAAAACCAGCCTCGCCTTCAGATGCAAGAGATCAAACACATGCTTTGTATTTCAGATAAAAATGTGTGCATCCCTGGATGGGAGCTGTGTCATCTGTATCATGTCTGATCATTGTTATCCTTTTGCTCCCAATCTCATTTACCTTTCTACACAGGTAGTGCACTGTCTGCTTAAAATGCAAATCTTACTCGGTAGTCAGTCTGGAGTAACTGACTGATTCTGACACTGGTAAAGGTAAATTTAGGATCCACAGGGCTCAGTGGATGTGAAAGAACAGGTGGGAGGATATGAAAGAAGTGCCACTCCAAACCTGAAGATTGGAGGAAGTAGTGCATAATACTGGTTTTCCCATGAAGGGGGTTTTGTCAAAAATACTTGATGTTTTTAGTGTCTGATATAAACAGTAAACATTCTATGGCAGTGACCTGGTGGGTTTTGGGAGGGAAAGTGTGTTTCAGTTCAGGATCTGTAAAATGTATGTTCTTTGATTAGTAATTTGTATTTTTACTTCAAATTAATGAATTTTGCTATTTTGTCATGTCCCCTTATTCCTGGGTTGTAAGACATGTTATAGAAGCACTCTACCTTCCTTAAATCAATCCAGTTTTATAGTCTTCCTTGTAAGATTTTTTTTTCTTCCTTGAGATGTTTTCCTTCCTCCTCCAAATCTACCATGGATATAGAGAATGTATCCTAATATTTCCCTATTTCTTAAAGAAAATTGACAGGTTTCATATTCTGAATCCCAGTCAGCTATCTACCAATAAGAAATTCAGTGCAGGGTTTCAGAGGAGAAATAGCAGTATCTCCACATGGCAATTTAAGCAATCCTGAAATAGATCCAAGAAGAAAAAGGTTTGATCCATTCCTTCTTGGGGTATTTCAGAGTGTAACTGCAGAAAGCTTTTGAAACGTGCAACACTAGCACAATCTGCTTCTCTCAAGTGACTCACATCTTTTTCTCAGCTCCCTTATATTTTTGTAAATTAATGCAATGCACACAATTTTAAATTCTGAGCTAAATGTCATACTTGCCTGCTGATGGTGGACCAATCAGGACAGCCATAGCTTCTGCCAGGAGCACTAAACCGATAGCACTGGAAAACTTCTGTGTACCAACAATAGCCATGAGAACTTCAAACTGAAGAGCACCTACCATTCCATAAGAAATGCCAAAGAAAATGCAAAAGACCACCAGCCCACGATAATCAACAGACATAGAACCCATGAGATCTGTAAAGCCATTAAAAATCATAGCAAAACTGAAGAGGTAGACACAGCGTGGTCTAACCCATTTAAGACCAGCTACCATTCCACAGATTGGGCGAGCAAAGATATCAATGAATCCCAGAATAGTCAGAAGAAAAGCTGCTTTGGTGTCTTGATACCCTAAATCCTTGGCATAACTCACAACAAACACTGGAGGAACAAAGAGACCAAGCACCATAATAGATGCTGCTAGCGCATAGATTACAAAACCACTGTCTTTAAACACACTGAAATCCAGAAGTTTTTTCTTCACTTTCTTCTCAGCTGGCTCTTTGGTAGCTTCAGCCTTTTTGGGTGGCTCCAAAGGTCTCATTAGTGCTCCACATACACAGCAGTTGAGCAGCATCCCACCCAGGATAAGAAATCCTCCTCTCCAACCATACTCATGCTGTAGTATCTGCCCCAGTGGTGAGAGAGCACACAGAAACACTGGACTCCCAGCAGCAGATAGCCCATTGGCTAAGGGCCGGCGTTTGTCAAAGTAACGGTTTAACATGATGAGTGAAGGCTGGAAGTTTAGTGCCAAACCCAAACCTGTGGTAGAGGGTACATAAGAATTACTACTGGCCTACAATATCATTGTTAAAGATACTCTAATTGCAGTTTTCATGATTCATGACTTAAGAGAAAATAGTTTTATTCCAAATGGACAAAAGAAACCTAAGATAACACAAAGTAATCTACCCCCATAGTATTCTTTTACTTTATGATTACATGTCACGCTATTAAACATTTATAACAAAAATAAATGACCTTTTAATTCCACATTTTTCTGCCATCTTTATAAAAGCCCAGCTGGATGATCCTTATGCTTCATGTATTTTTCACTTAAACAAAACTTCAGCCTAAAGGTAAGACCTAAGTGAACTCATTTTCAGCATAGTACTTACCAGTAATCACACCTGCAGTTAGATAGATCTGGACGATGCTTGTGCAGAAGGAAGCGATCACCATCCCCATTGAGGCAAAAAGGCCACCCACCAGCATGACAGGGCGACAACCAAAGCGATTGACACACACGCTACAAAGTGGACCTAGGCAAGAAAAGCAAGTTATGTTTGCTTAGATAAACAACTTTTGCAACTGATTTTCTGACACTTTGTATTTCCTTGGTAGAGTTCAAAGTGTAACATTCAAGGTTACACAATGATCTTAAAGGTCTAAGGTCTTTCCAACCTCAGTGGTTCTAACTAATTTTGTACTTTGTCCATAAAGTCAGGCCAATCAGGAAAAATGTCCTTTCCTCTGTAGTCAAATACTTCAATCTTTTTTGTCTTCAGAGTGCCTTGTGATTTTTCATCAACTTTAGCAACTACTGACTTACAAGGATGTAATTTTAAATAAACTGGATGGGCTTAAAAAATATTTTCATTTATGTGATTAATAGTAATTCTTCCTTGGAATGCCTTATTTGCACACAAGTAATGATATGCAGTCATGATACAGACTGTAAATGGCTGTAAGATTTACAAAATTAATTGTGTGACTCAATACTGTTTCAAAACCAGATAACTACTCACCTGTTCCATAAAGCATGGCCAACAGAATGGAGGAAATCCACGCAGTGTCACTATATCCAATGCCAAATTCCCGGATAAGTTCTTTAAAGAAGACACTAACTGCCTTAGGAAAGGCATAGGAGAATCCTGTGATGATAAAACAGCCAAAAAGGACAGCCCAGCCCCAGCCTCCATCAGGGGCTTTAACACCTGATGGACCGTCATCAGCTACTACAGCTCCCATGATGAAGAAGCTTGTGTGTTCCCTAAGAAACAAAAAGCAATTAGTATCTCTAAAATTGCACTACCATTTAAACTAAGGCATGGAACTACTTAAAACAGTCTTGAAAATGCAGTGCAATTTTAACTATTTCTTGTCTGAGTTTAGTTTTTACAAAGCCTGCAAAAATACGTGAAAATGAGATGCACACAGCTGAGTTTTAAATGAATGGTCCTGCACAGCTCTCAAAGTCAGAGCTGGATTTGATCCAAATCACTGCTTCATTAAAAAACAGCAGCATTTCAGGGGTGTATCTGGCTTTCAAAAATATGTAATAATTATTGCATTAAAGTCTGCAGGATTTTTTATGTAAGACCTTGTTACATGAAGCTCCTGGCCTATTCACTTAGGAGACCTGGTGCATCACAAGTGCTCTGTGAAATGGTGAACTAATCACCCAGATTTTTTATTCCCCACTGAGGACAGCTGTACAGCCCTGATACAATGTTATCTTGAACAGATAGAAAGATCCCTTCGAGGTAATGATGATGAGTTATCATTTTTCACACATCAAGCTCAAATGCTAAACTGCAATGAAAATCCCAGAGCCATTTTTGTAGATGCTGGGAGTTAGTAACTGAAGCAATGCTCAGTACAACTGCCTGCCTGAAGCAAATACTTCCCACTGTTGTTATTACATGATAAGTAAGAAAACGTAGTATTTGATGAATCTTGGCTCAAATGTATAAAGAACAAGAATATAAAATTGAAACATTTCATGGGGTATTGTCACTCACACTAATTTCAAGTTGTCCGAACATTTCGAGTGAAGGTTTAAAATATTGAGGGAAGGGTTGGGCAGTTTTCGTTCATTTCCATTACCCGTCTAATAGCAACACAAAGTTAGTAATGATACATAAGCATGCTTTGTTGAAAAACAGCAACTGGGAATCTCTCCAGACTGCTTATACAGTGCTGGGTGGAACATTCAGTGCCTTACAGCATTCACCTCTGCAAACGGACTGGGACAGTCTCCCTTACTGCGTCTACAGCAAAGTTGTTCTAAGCCCAGCCTCTGCAGACCTACAGCGCTCAACCCCGATAGCAAACTACACCCATGCCGTATGAAGCGGCGAGTGGCTTTGAGAAGAAACACCGTTAAGAACTATTCGGCAGCACGCTTTTCCTTCCAGAAGAGAACTGGCCAAGATTTTCGGGGGGGGAGAAGTCAGCTCGGCAGCCGGCGCACCGAGCGTGGTGCGGGCGCGGCTCGGGGAAGACGCGGCTCCCGCCCGCGCTCCGACCTTGGAGCCGGGGCTGCAGGAGCCGCCCCACCCGCGGCCCCGCGTGACCCGCGCGATGCCCCGGCCGGGCGCGCGGGCGGCCGCCGCACTGAGACGTGCGGGACGTGACTCCCGGGCGGGGGCGGTGCTGCCGCCAGCTGCGCGCGCGGCCCGGGCGGAGCCGCGGCCGCGCCCCCGCCGAGCGCTCGCAACCGCGGTGCTCCCACAGGAGAGGGAAACATCCTCCTCCCTGGCCATTCTTGAGCTCTTCCATGCTCAGCAGAGCAAGTCAGCCTGTAAGAGACACATTCTGTTGCATCTGCCTTACGAAACATACCATCTTTGCCATGAGGAGCAGTCTCTAAAACGGTTTTATGTTTTGCTGTGATGAAAGAGCAAAACACACTTGCTGATGTGAGGGAACCTGGCATACTTTCCAGCATTTCATAAAAGTAAGTCTAGAGGGAAACACACAGTAATATCCATTTACTCTTCGTTACATCATATCTGCTACCACATTCCACATTTGGCTAAAAATCACCATAAACCGGCACACCAGATCTTCAAGTGCCATCCTTTCAAGAGTGGTTCACACACATGCCTCAAAAACAACTGTCTTAAAGGGAAAGGCTGAGAGAATTCGGATGATTCAGCATGCAGAAGAGGATGCTCTGGGGAAGCTTTTTTGCACCTTTCCAGTGCCTGAAGTGGCTACCAGAAGGCTGGAGAGGGGCTTTTTACAAGGGCATGCAGTGATAGAACAAGGGGGAATGGCTTCAAACTGACAGTAGGTTTAAGATTAGGTATTAGGAAGAAATTCTTTAGTGTGAGGGTGATGAGGTTCTGGCAAAGGGCTCAGAGAAGCTGTGGCTGTCTCATCCCTGGAAGAGTTCCAGGCCAGGTTGGACAGGGTTTGGAGCAATGTGGCCTAATGGAAGGTGTTTCTGCCCGTGGCAGTAGGTTGGAACGAGATTAACTTTAAGGCTTCTAACCCAAACCGCTCTATGATTCTACAATCAATGTTACTCATCTGGTTTTGTCCATTGGTTGTTCATGTTAACATATCAAAATAAAAAGACCATTAACTAGAACTAAATGAACCCTGTCTTCACAAACACAGCAAGAATGCATTTCATCCTGTTGTGGTGTGCTGAGACTTTATTCACCTCCTTAAGCGGGAAATAAGAAATAATAAGGAAGTAGTGTTGAGGTTCCTTTGCAGAATGTATAAACAAGGGGTACACCTTTAGAAAAGGCAGGCCTGTGGCTGATCTGCACTGACAAAATTTTTACTTAGGATTTTGCTACAGTGCTGGGATGCCATCAAACTGTTAAGATAGGAGGCTACTGCCTAACTATTGCAACAGCTTGTTTTGCTTTCTGCTTTTGCTAGCTCAGCCCTATTTAGAGGCAAAGGATTACATTTAACACACTGTAGCTCAGTTTCATATCTCCACAACAGACATGATAGTATTGTTAGTATTTATTCAAGCTTACTTCTATCATGAATGGGTTCTTGCTTTGGTAATGTGCAAAAGGAAGGTAGCATCTGGGGCTTCATCTTCCTGATACTATCTTCTTGTTGTCATGGAAACTAATATAGACTCAGTTAGGAGGAAATATTAGGTAGCATTGTGGGTGGTGTGATGGTGTGGTTTCTGGGATGATGTATATAAAAAGTGAACACTTGTATTATAAAAAGGAGCAGCTAGAAATGGCAAGAATCTATTATTTGTGTTTAGCCACTACTCTTATTGGCAACATACCTGTACTTCATGGTCAGCAATATGGGTAGGAAGGACATTTATGAGCATGTATACTGACTTATATAGCTTGAGAATGTCATGTTCTCAAGAAGAATTAATTTCAAGAATTCTCAAGAATAATTAATTTCTTCTAATTATGGCTGAAATCTACACAATCTTGAATTTCCATGATACAAATAAAATATGGTTATCAAAAATAGAACATAAGCTTCCAAGTAGGGAACTCAGTTCAGCTTAGACTTCAGTCTGGAGCCACACCCACCTGAGAAATGTAAACTACAAAGTAAGGAAGATGGTATAAGCTGAATAATGTAGACATCCTCCTTCAGTTTTTCTTGTCTGTGAAACAAAGAAAATAATGATTCTCTCTTCATAGTGTGTTGGGGGTATGAATACCTTGAAAAGCATAGGCTGCTCAATGCTGTGTTTATAGGAGTTATAAACCTGTATTTGCCCAAAGATATTAAAATCTCAGCAGACTAAACAAAATATGCATGTTATTCTTGATTTTAAGTCAGGATTCCTAAGACTAACCAGCTCCACTGAAATTTTTCAGGAAATGATTCCTGAAAAAATGTTTTTATTTTAATATTCTCCAGAACCATATGATAGCCCTCTACATATAGAACAACTACCCTTTGTATTGACATCACTGAGATGTGCCTATTCAGCATGACTTCAACTCCTTCCTGCTTATCTAAAGTACAAATGCATAAATCTTTAAATCTGATTTCCTTTCAACTCAGGTACCTCATAGAAGCCATTTATATGGGCCACTGATATAACCCACTAGTGCATTTCCTGTGGCTTATCTGCTTAAATATTAGCCAGTTGAATTATATGTTCATTCCAAAGGCTGCTGCAAATTCTATTCCTACAAAATCATTACTATATTTATCAATGCCTATCGTGACCTCCTGTCCTCCCTGCAAGGCCCCACAGTGATTGCCACTGTCCCATTTTGGCCTCCTCTGTTTCAAATGAGACAATTTTCCCAGATCTGCTGCCTTTCTTAAGGGTTTTCCAGTTTTCCCCATTCTCTCATCTCACTCTTACAACTCCTAGGATAATTCTGTGCTGTCTGTAGCTGCAAGTAATGTTCCATACAAAATCTTGACTATTAATCATTCTTCAGTCCCCATTTAGCCTCGAAACATCTTAGCTGTTCACTGCTGCTGCACAGTGAGTAACATTCATCACAAGTTATTAGCAGACTGTGCTTATAGTAAGTTCATACTGCAACTTTGTGTGTAGCAGATAATGCTAACCAGTCTAAATTCTTTTATCTGGGTAAAGTGCTCTATAGGAAAGCTGTGACTATTTATTTGCTTGTTTTATTTTATATCATGAAAAGTTGCTGAATCCCAGCCTCAGCCAGGAACAATTACAATTAATTTTCACGTATCATGAAAATTAATTTCAGCCCTACAGCTGTGATGGCTTTGCAATGTGTTTGAAGCTTTAGAAAAACATAAATATTTGACAATTGCTTATAGCAAAGAAGTGTCCTTATATTGTTTAATATAAACCAAAAAGTGACAGAGATAGATAATTAGTAATTAAAGACTAGTCCTGTCACCAGCTGGGCATCACTGCTTATTTTTGCAGACCATAATGGAACTACTCTAATATATAAAGTGCTCACATGCACATGCATTATATCTCAAGCTAGGTGAGCACATGTAGCTGAATATAGTCAGAAAAGATCATCTGGCTCAGATGTGTCATTTTACAAAATCACTTTGGACAGTGCAGCTCCATAACAGGGTGTCACACATTGAGATATGAGAACTGCCACTTCAGTCACAATTTTAAATGCCACCTTTTTATTTCTATAATATACCTTGAGTTATACTTCTGACTGAGCCACAAAAGGTGTACTGCACTAATAGATTCTGATTCACATTTTAAAACGTCTGCCACACTGCTTCCTCTGAAATAAACACTGCAAAACCGTACATTACCCTGTGACATCCTAAATTGAACGGTTTGCCCAAGAGGAGTGCATTTCCACTAGTGCTAACGGTCTGCGCTTGTGAGGAAGCTGAATTACTGAAATTCAACTTCACCTTTGTGTGCTTTTTCCTTCTCTCCACTGAATTGCTTAGAAGGCAAGCCGCAGACCCCTTCAGGTCGATTGCGAGCACCATCAAAAAAAGGCTTTTTCCCAAGAGATGGAGAGGGGCTGAGGCGGCACCGTGCGGGAGGGGGCGTAGGGAGGACAGTGGCGGTGGTCGCGGCGTCGCCACGGCCACGGCCGCTCGCGCGGCGCTCCGGGGCGGGCACGTCGCCCGCGCAGCCCTGAGCCCGGACGGCTCGCGAGCAGCGCGGGGGTCACCGCCGCAGCCGATGCTCACGCAGACCAGGAAGACGCCGCGCCCGGGCACCCCACCGCTCTTCGTGTGCCCGCTGAGCCGAGTAATGGAGTTCATGCCCGGGGCTGCGATGATGTCCTTATGAGGGAACAATCGCTCAGACTGCTCGTCGCCCGCTCTGAAGGACCTGAACGGTCACCGCTATGACAAAAAATTCCGAAATTCGCCTCCGGGGGCTCGACACCTTCGCAGAAGCGAAGGGACCGCGGAGGCGAGAGACTCGTCCCCCAGTAACGGTGTGAGGCCACGAATGGCGGAAACAAAGCCCGAACTCGCGGCTGTCCCACGAGCTGCCGGTGTGGCACTGTACGTGCCCTCGGGCCGGCGGCACTACACGCCCAGGCGTGACCCAGCTGCCAGAGGGGAAGCCGGGGGCAGCGCTCTCTCGTAGCAGGCGGGCTGGGCTCGGTGGCCAGCACTGCTCAGCGCCCGGACAGCGCTTTCAGGCCGGTGGAGCTGAGGACTTTGGGCGACCCATACAGCAACGCGGGTTTCCCGACGAAGAGGTGCGCCCGCGTGGCCCCATGAACGAGCGAAAACGCAGCCGACGGGACGGCGCCCCGCCGACCCTAGTGAGATGGTGCCAAGGGATGCGAGAACAGTCGGCGTCGTGCCCGCGTCCCCATCGGCGCCCAGAGCAGCCTCTGGGCAAGGGTTGAACCCGCGATTCCTACGCCGCGCTTTGCCCAAAGCTTGGGTGGCGCTCGGGCTCATCCGCTGGCCCGGATGAATCCCACGTAGAGAAGCGCCCTCGGTCAGCCCGACGCTCTGGATTCGGTTCACCCGTCTCCGGACCCGCCACACCGCGCTCCCCACGGCGTTCGTCCGCGTGGGCCAGGCAAAGACTCCGCAACATCCCGCACGACGGCTCCGCCTCAGTACCTGAGTCACGTCCCGCGTCTCAGCGTGAGGATGCCCGTGCTCGCGCCGGAGCGCAGCTCGCTGTCCCCGTGTGCCCACGCAGCCACGCCGGAGCCCGTCTGGTCCCGCCGGCTGGGAGCGCTCCCGCGCGGCGGGTCCGTGGCTGCTCGCCCCGCCCTGCCACACGGGGCGTGCCCCGCGTCCTATCGCCGCCGCCGGGACTCTCCTCCGCTGCAGCTTCTTCGGCGCGTGGGCTCCGACCGTGTGTAACGCGGCTCCGCTGGCGCCGGCTCGGAGCGGAGCCCCGGGGCCTCACAAGGCATCAGCACGAGCTTTGCGCTGCTTGCGTAGGGTGCAACGCAGGGCTGGATCCTGCCGGCATGAATGCTGCACCGGCTGTCCGGAAGAACCGGATCTTAGCAGTGGACTTGAATTTATGAATGGATTTATGCGTTTGAGGTTTGTTATGTGCTGCCGTTTCTGTTTTCCCAGGAGCGATCACAGTTTCCTCATTGCCTCCTTCCATGAGAATTACTCTTACGAGCTTCCTTGCTTAATTGTTTTCTTCTTAGAATTTTTGAGTGTGATACTGTGCATTCTTGTAGACAACCCCAGGCTTCCCTCCTCATCCTTTACCAAGGGGGTAAATATTATATTACTCCCTGCAAATATGATGTCATAACATACTCCTCCTTTCACATCCGGATAGAATGAACTTTCTGCATTAATCTCTTGTGACTCAACTGAAATTGAGTTTATAGATTATAATCCAACAAACATTGGATTATAAAACTGATGTGCTGATATTGTTGTGTAACATCTAGGAAAGTTGTGGGATTCACAAATGCAATACAGAAAGTAGCACTCCTATGGCTACCTGGGGCTTAGGAAATTCATGAGTAGGTGCTCCATTCTTTTGTGTGCTTTAGCACACAATCCAATATACAGGGGAATGACACAACACCTAAAATCCTGTGTTTGGTTTTCAGCCCCCCTCGAGACAAGACAAACATTGAGGGGCTGGAACATGGCCAGAGAAGGGCAACGGAGCTAGGGAAGTCTGATGGACAGTAGCTGAGCGAGCTGGAGAGACTCAGCCTGGAGAAAAGGAGGCTCTGGGGACACCTTACCCCTCTCTACTACTACCTGAAAGGAGATTGTACCAAGGTGGGCATCTGTCTCTTCTCCTAGGTAACAAGTGATATAACAAGAGGAAATGGCCTCAAGTTGTGCCAGGAGAGCTTAAGATTGGATATTAGGAAAAATCTCTTCTCCAAACAGGTTGCCAAGCATTGGAATGGCATGTCCAGGGAAGTGATGTAGTCACCATCCCTGGAGTTTAACAGCTAGACGCAATGATCTTGGAAAAAAATATTTTCTAAATGATTCCATGATTCCTATAACCTGTGTGGAATTACACAGTAGTAGGATTCTAAGTAGGAGAGGATAGGCAGGATACAATATTGTCTTTTGAGAACTGTGATATTGCACAGATTAGTAGCTTCCAATTTAAAACCTGCTTGCTGAAATCATGTAATACCAAGGCAGGAACTGAAGCTCTTTTAATGATTTAGAAATTTTTTTCTTTTCCGTGCACATTATGTTTGCACTGGGTATTGGTTCATTTTTGCTGAAGCATAGTACCCATTTGTATATGTTTAAGGATTCATTGCATTAATATGTGAAGATGAAAAAGGCCATGTGGTTTATTTTGAGCAGATAACATACAGCCAATAAGACTGGCACTGCTAATCTTAAAGACTAGTAAAACCAGTTTTTGACTGTCCACTATTATCTGAATTTAGGCCATTCACTTGCAGACTAGGTGTATTCACCTGAATTGACATTGTGTAGACTGTAATCTTTTTTTACTCTCCATTAAAGTTTGTCTGTTCAGGGCACTATTGAATCACTGGAAGTTACCAGTTACTCATTAGGGAACTAACAAGCATTTACGTATGTGACTAGGGGCTGATTGAAGATATGCTGGAGAATATGACAGCTAATTTGAAAGGGGGGGCAGGGGTGAAGAAGGGTTGAAAAGATAATGGGGTTGATAGGTTAGGCAATGGCTAATATAAAGAATGCCAGCAGTCAGAATAGTGTATGGATTTAGACATTAGCCTATTATGTGCTGATTCTGATGAGTGCTCTGAGGGGCCCACTGGACAATATAAATTATGCCAGGACTTTCACGATAATTTTTGTGTGTTCAGATGTAGAAAATAATTTTAAGCTGGGTTTCACCATTGTATTTTAAACCAGAGGTGATTCATATAAGTAAATGAACTCAATTCTTTTAATAATTGACGTATTCTGTAACTCTAATTAGCTAAATGGAAATTGCCTTGTTTCAAAAGTCAAATTGTTAGTCCTGATTCTCATTTTCATTAATAGTTACTGGTGAAAATAACTATTCTATATACATTTTCTTTAACTGGCATGGGGCTAGAACACACAATTCTCTTCTGATGATATAAGGAAAATTATATAACTACTGATAATGCTCTATCTTCTCTAAATTATTGTACTTTAGGTATCATTTGGGTGCAGCATTACAGGAAGTTTGCGTCATGACTTATCTGGAAGTCATGAGTATCTAGAGTGACTAAGGGAAAATCATGCTTTAGGCCTGCTGCATGTGTTACATGTTCCTCTATCTCATCTATACAGTGTAAAGCAGTTTAGTTGATGGATACAGTTTTAAATAATTAAGTGCCTTGATGGCAGAATGTGTTTATCTGTTCTGCATGATCTTACGTTGCAGTTGGTCTGAGTTTGTTTTACATGCTTTTTAGTTTTTCACATGATGTAGCAGGAGTGCATAGGAAGTTTGTTCACACCCGTAACAGCTGTACTTGAAAGGGGCAAAGAGTCTCCTTCCTGATCTGCGCTAAGGAGAAATTGTTTAAAATAATGTTTTGTTGGATAAACAAAATGTATAGGAAGACAACTGAACAGGAGAATGAGATCTGAGAGTATGGGACAAGTACTAGCTGCGCTTTGGGAGAATGGGGTCTTACTGAAGGAGACCGGGGCTGCAAAGGAGCGTGCCCCTGCTCACACGATCCAGAGAAGAGGCTGCTGAGAGTAGTGAGCGCGGAACGGAGAGACTGCGAGGAACAGAAAACACGCCGCCGGGTTCCTGGAAGTGAATGCAGGGCGACGAACTGAGACATAGGAGGGGCGGCAGGCGGGGACTGGCACCGCCTCCCCGGGCGAGGCGGAGGGGCGGCGCCGAGCGGGCCTGTTCCGCGGCGCCATGGAGACGGGCCCGCCGCCCGGCCCGGCCGACCCCAGCCGTGGCTCCAGAGGCGGGAGCGGCCTGCTGCCGGGACCGGGGCGATGTGGAGGTTCGTGCCGTCAGGAGGCGAGTCGCGACTGGGCTTCTCCATCGGAAGGAAGTGCGGTCGCACAGTTGTGCTGCAGATTGTCCTTCGGAGCTCCCACTGCGTCGCTTCCGCATCTCGCGCCCTTTTCTCTCTCTGGGGCCCCGCTGTCTTTCTGCACCCTTCCTGCTAATGCCCTGTTTTGTGCTGTCCCTGAGTCCAAAGCATTATCTTGTGCTGCTCTCTACTGCCTACATCTAACCGGTTTGACCTCGACGGTCTGCCTGCCATCTGCTCTTCTGCCTCAGAATATCTGACCCTCAGAGCCCTCCATGGAACCCTTCCTTGTGGGGTCTGCTTCCTGCCAGGCAGTCCTTCGGTTGGCAGTGTTGTCTTCTGCCGACACTCGACACTCGAATGTCTTTTCCTCCCTCTGTGCACTTCAAATTTAGTTAATCTTTTTAACTGTGATAGCCATCTGATTTATCTGGAACAACTGTAGCTGAAAGTATGGTACTGAAAGAGCAGATCTTTTGCATGTTATAGGCAGGGAGGCAGTACTGTTAATGAATATCCATAATAGTGACTTTTTAAAAAATCATCTACTTCTCCTTAACCAAATGAAGAAGATATTACTTACACTATCTGTGCACGGTAGCATGATTTGAACGTTGCCAACAAAAGTCAGAATATGAAAACACTATTTTAATTAACTTAGGAATAAATGTGAAATCTTGGCCAGCAGGATTGAAAGACCATCAGATCATTGTGTCCTTCAGCATGGTTTGTTCCTCAAACTTGAATTCTTTTTACTTCTTGCATCCAATGATCAGTGACTCATTTTTTCAATCCTAAAAAAACTGGAGATGTCTAGATTGTGAAGAAAAATGTTATTTAAATTATGACATCCTTTAGCACAGAGATATTGCATAGCATTTTCTGGTCTGAAAATCTGTCATTTAAAGAGATTAAAGAGCCACTATTTGAAAGGCATGCTTGTCCCATTTGTTCTCTGCATCCCTCTGCTTATACAGAAGCGATTCTCTGCAACCAGTGACACAGAATAATACTGTACAGTGAGAGAAGCTATATCTCTCCAGAGATTTTCCCAAATCTCTGGAGAGACCTGAACAGAATTTTTTTTTTAAGCATCTATACTGCTTAAAAACAATGTTGTTGTTTTTTTCCTTGTTTTTACAGAATTTATAATCAGTTAAGAGGCAAATATGGATAATAAACAATAGGAAGAGGTGGATGTGAAGCAAGTAAAGAGTTTTGCATGTAAAAGCACAGGCTCTCTCTGGTGGTTATTTTCTTTAACTAAAAGCAGACAAACACAGCAGTTAATATTGTTAATAAAAGAGAGGGCTGGACTCATCATACATATATTGAAAAAAAGAGAAATGTGTGCAGCTTGCAGGGTGGAGGGAATAAACACTTTTTTCTTGTTCTGTCTGCACATAATTCTTGTTTAATGTAATTACTGTCTTCAGAAATAAGAGTCTCTTGGGGATTATTCTCTACTTAAAATCGTAATTGTTGTAAAATGCTGTAAACTGTGCTGGATCCAACTACATTTATAATGTAGAGATGGCTGGGTAAGTTTAAGTAATTTTTTTTTTGTTATTGTGGGTGATCTGAGCAAGACTCTATTGTGGGAACTCAAAATGTCTCTCAGACATTTTTAGAGGTTCCAAGCCTTGGTCAGAAGCATTCTAGACCCTGGCAGACAGCTGAAAAACAACTGTGATTTTGAGTTTGAGCCATGGAATGAATTACCAACTTTAGAGGTGGAACAAGCAATCACAAAAGGTTAGATAGTATAGTA